TGCAGAACTTTGCGCTGCAGTTGTACCGCGCCCTGTCCCGCGAACGACTCAACGTCTTCGTCTCGCCGTTCGGCACAGCCGTGGCATTGGTGAGCACAGTGCGCAGTAACTTCGCGAGCATGACTGGACAGCGGTTGCATCTCGTGTTTAATGATATCAGGGGGCGGTTACGTCTCGAAGCCACGACATGATATACGAGCTGAGGCAGTGGGAGAGTGCATTCCGCAAGTTTTCACCACCTGGTATTCTCTATCGTCAATAGCGTAGCCAAGGGGTGGCCGCCAAGTTCGTGTGTCAGCACCCCCCCCCCCTTCCCCTCCTCGAAAAAACGCTTCTGCCCACCGCACTTTATCGTGCACATACTGAGTACATATGGAAAGAAAAATGGTAGGTGTAACCTTAAGAGACAAGAAGTGAGCAGAGTGTATTAGGGGACAAACGGGGGTTAAGGATATCATGGTTGAAATAAAGAAGAGGAAATGGACATGGGCCGGTTATGTAGCGCGAAGACAGGATAACCACTGGTCATTAAGGGTAACTAACTGGATTCCCAGAGAAGGGAAGCGGGTTAGGGGGAGACAGAAGGTTAGGTGGGCAGATGAGATTAAGAAGTTTGCGGGTGTAAATTGGCAGCAGCAAGCACAGGACCGGGTTAACTGGCGGAACATGGGAGAGGCCTTTGTCCTGCAGTGGACGTAGTCAGGCTGATGATGATGATCATGATGATGATGACTGAGTACATGGTCGACCCTCTACCATTCTGCCTTCATGCGGCCTCCGCCGCGGGGATTCGATCCCGCAAATTTCTGGGCAGAACTCTGCAGTCTAGCACCATATTAACAACCATATAGTGATTATTATGGTTCTCGACATCTATAGACCACCGCGGGGGGTTTACATCTTTCTATCTTTCAGATAGGAAAGAATAAACTGTAGCAGGTTAATTATAGCCACGGGTAAAAGAGTGTGAAACACATCCTGACTTGTTTGCAACGGAGGGTACTTTGTATGGGAGAGAGCTAAGCTCTCCCCAACATGCGACACAGACCGCAGATTGTGCAGAGACTTCACCAATAGTTTGTGTATTTAGAAAAAGCGGTTAACAATTTAGAGTACTCGGTACTCTACTATGGGAGAGTTGAACGCCGTCCCTTGGGCCTCACACTTGACGAGGCCGCATCGACAAAAATTACGCTCGGGCCGAGCCTGGACCACTCGTCAGACATTTTCTGCAACATTTTTGAGCAGACAAACATACGGACGACCTTGAAAAAAACTTTGTTATTGTACATCTACTCTAATGAGCCGCTAGTTTCAGATCGAAAGACTTGAGAGCTAGAGCAATTTTTTTCAGATTCTGGCGCGAATACGTCGGCCAATCGTCTCACTTTAATCGTAGATGAGGAACTTTTGTGCTAGTATTCGAGTCAGCAGAAAAGGTATTTATGTTTGAAACGAAAATCAGCTGGCGGGACATTCACTGAGGAAACGGGCAAGCAGTATTGTGAGTGCAAGGAAGACTAAATAAAAAAATGGCAGCATATCCACGGATTGAATGATGGAACGTGGGGCGAAGCATTCGTCCGCCCATTCGTTCTTGCTTCCGTCTGTCCATGCGTCCGTCTGTGTGACCGTCCATGTGACTCCATCCGTCCGTCCGTGCATCCGTTCATGCGTCCATCCATGCATCCGCCTGTGTGTCCGTTCGTCCATCTATTCAACACTCCAAGTACCACCATCTCGCATCTTTTCATCACATATTCCCCACATAGAAGCACCGCCATCCAGCGGACATTGCAAGGACTAAACGAGAGGAGGCACACGCACACTTTCTTACGGCTTGCACTTCGTGTCTACTTCCCACCTTTAACCCCCTCGAGTTCATGGTGTATACTAGTTCACTGTATTCATGGCACTGCGGCCTAACGCTCGCAAAACCTTTCTAAAACCAAGGAGGTTATGCCCAGCGAGTATAACGTAGCAACCTTTTCCTGTCAGATAGTTCATGCCAATGGCTGCTAATGGGAAATGAGAGACAGGAGCACTCGACTTTTACTTTCTTACGGCTTGCGCTTCGTATCTACTTCCCACCTTTAACCACCTCGAGTTCATGGTATATACTAGTTCATTGTATTCATGGCACTGCGGCTCAACGTTCGCTAAACCTTTCTAAAACTAAGGAGGTTACACCCAGCGAGTATAACGTAGCTACCCTTTCTTATCAGATAGTGCTCGATGTACATGCCAATGGCTGCTAATGGGGATCGCAGCGTGCGCGTTAGCTAAAAGCCGAATGCTCCTGTCTCTAATTCCCCATTAGCAGCCATTGGCATGTGCATTGAGCACTATCTTTCATTGTTCAACAACGCACAGAAAAAATCTCTCACCGGCACCACCTTGAAGGTCAAAATGTTATACGTGTTACACACTACTATGAGACTATGAGAGACGAACGGGTGTCGCTATAAGAAGCTGCGCCGCTGAAAATCACAGCATATCTACGGAGTGAATGATAAGTGGGGCGAAGCGTCCGTCCGTCCGTGCATCAGTCCGGCTGTCCGTACACTCGTCCGTCCGTTTATGTGTCCGCATGTCCTACTGCACACACTTCTATTGGACCAAGGCGACATCTAGGAAATGAGACGAGAAATGGTGATGAGACAGCGCCATCTATTACACTGTTCAGGAGATACGGCTGGTTATGCCTGACGCGCGACGAGGTCAGACCAAATGGTAGTGTACAAGTGTTCTGTGGTTGGACTAAAAGGAAGTTTGTCCCTAAAATTATGAATCATCTCCCCGAAGGATTGCGAAGCTGCAGCGATGCGCATGACGTTAACCCGGTCGAAATGTGCGTCGACGCGGTTGCTGGAAGAACGGTCTAAGCGAAACTCGGTGTAGCGTCTACTCGAGCAAATGTTTGTTTGCGGTCGAGGGTTGCGGGCGGTAGAGAGGGAGAAGCGAGGGACAAGTGTGTTGCGAGCGAACAGAGGAGCCAGCAGCTGCGTGCGCTGGGGCAAGCGTGCTGTGGGTGAGGGAGAGAGTGACGTCAGCACGCACCTGCGAGAGAAGTGTGCAGGGGGGGGGGGGCGTGACGTCAACGCGCAGCTGCGGCGTGACCTACTTGGCACCGCTAAAACCTGCGGTGAGGGGAACGCGTCGCGGTTCGTTCGTACGGATGCACGTACGTACGGCGTTACACACGTAAGTCAAAGAGCTGCTTCGCATATAAAAAAATCACAGCATATCCAGAGAGTGAATGATGATGAGTGGGGCGAAGCGTCCGACATTCCATCCGTGCGTCCGTCCGTTCGTTCTTGCTTCTGTTTATCCATCCGTCCGTCCGGTTGTTCACCCATCTGCCCGTGCGTCTGTCTGTCCATCCGTGCGTCCGTCCTCCGTGAGTGCGTGCGTCCATCCGTCCTTGCGTTCTTCCGTGCATGCGTCCGTCAGCCTGTTTGTCTGTCTGGCGGACTTCCGTCCGTGCGTCCGTCAGTCAGTCCGTCCATCCGTGTGGCCATCCGCCTGTCTGTTTATCCGTCCGTCTAGTGAACACTCCAAGTACCGCCATCTCGCATCTGTTCATCATATATTCATCATATACAAGTACCCCCATCCAGCGGACATTCCAAGGATTAAACGAGAGGTACTACTACTACTACTACTACTACTACTACTACTACTACTACTACTACTACTACTACTACTACGTACAATGTGGACGCACGACCCATGGCATAACGATATTCGTCCATAAATAGCATGGGTGGAGCATAGATAAATATTTATTTTAGAGTATATTTACTGAGGCCTTAAGCACTGAAAAAATTATCGCAGAAGTTATTGCAGGAAAGGCGTACTGTTCGATAGCTTCTTCTTTGCCTCAGAAAGAGCCATGTTGTTGTTGGGGCCGCTGGCAGGCCGATTGCTTTTGCCCCGTTAAAGTATGCGCCAGCTTAAATATGAAGTAAGTGAATAGTGTGATATGCGTGCGTGGACATTTGTGGGGGGATGCAGAAAGAAAAAGAAAAGTACCAGTTAATGTCATAGTGACTTTTTTGTTTGAAGTGTAACGTACGCATTTAAAAGCAAATGTTGTATAATGCTTGCTGGCTATCGATTGGATTGAATGTAATAAGAGAGGTAATTAACGATGACGTAACGCGTTTTTGTTTACCGTTTACCATTTACCGCTAATCGATGCTCTTTTTGTTTCGTTTTTTGTTTTTTTTTTTGCACAGCGATACGATCATTATTAGCCTAGGCGGGCGCAGGGTTCTCCATAAGATAAGGGGTGAAGTCGAGTTAAAGCCTCATCGCAAAGCCCCCCCCCCCCTCACCACCACCTCCAATGGTCGAGTCTAACAGAAAAGACTCGCAAGGCGTGCAAAAATAAAACTGAAGCGATGATGTGTACCTCACCGCGGCGCGCTTTTTGTCCCCAGTTTTCCGGGAAACTAAACAGCTTTTTGTCGGCCGCCATTTTCCTTGGTAACAGGCATGACAGTGGTGCCTATTATATACTGCTGCCTATTATATGACCAGGCTAGTTGGTATCCATGGCGACGTGAACAGCGCATCAGACACACAGGACAAGAAACCGACGAGGACGAGGCAATTGCATCAGCTAACCCTCAATCGCTCTTACTGACAAAGAAATAGATCACATTATCCATCAGGTTCGGTTGCTTTGCTTGTCATCTCTTCGCGTTTTCTTGGTGTGTTCTTATTATATTTTTGTGTCTCTCGGTTCCCTTTCCGTGCCTGCCGTCATGCGCAAATGGATGAGCAGTTATCACGTGTGCTATCTTGATTTCGTTTTTCCGTGTTAATACATTTCATATGGAAGTCGGCGCTGGTCCGGGTCACTTGCGAGATTTGCCCCCCTTAGGCGATGGTGCGGAGGGGGGGAGGGCACCCTTCCTGTTCCTCGATTTGTACGCACACCTATGCTTATCAGCATCGTCATGGCGACTTCAGGTCACCGCTTTGGCCGGATCTCGAGGAGACACCGCCGAGCAAATCCTGGCCGCTCTGGGAGCGACGCACGAGGAGGAGCTACTGCACGAGTTCGGCCTCATGGGACGCGTCCTGGAGCCGCTGTCCCCGCTCCACGTGGGCCTGGCCAGCAAAATGTACCTGTCCACCTCCCTGGAACTGGCCGACTCCTTCAAGGAAGCCATACACCAAGAGTTTGGCGGGCAGGTCAAGTATTGAAGGTTTATTCACGCCGGTGACCCTGAAATCGTGCGACCCCTATAGGTCGTATAAGTGTTCCAGCACGTTCTCTAGTCACTGCCCTCGTCACAGCGTGCAAAGACGGCAACTATAGCTGCTGCGTTAGCTCGCCTAGACGACAGACCTTTGTCTGAACAATCAGTGCTTGAAAGGCGACATGATTTGTGTCATCACAGAAAATCAGTGAAGGCCTTACTGAACTTTTAGATGCGGAGCATCTAATACTCGAGACTTGTAGTGCGGCGCCGTCCGCAAGCTTCCTCCTCCTCCTTCCACCATCTGTGCATCCCTTCCTCCTCTACACACCGCGCGCGCTTCACTCCTCCACCATCTGTGCACCCTTCCTCCTCTACACACCGCGTGCGCTTCTCCTCTTCACGAACATTCGCTAGGTGTATAATGTAGCGCGCATGCGCCGTCACGCTTCGAGAACATCGGCAGCTGACGCGCGCGCATGCGCCGTCGCGTTTCGAGAACATCGGCAGCTGACGCGCGCGCATGCGCCGCTGCGCTTCTCCCCCTTCTCGAACATTCGACAGCTGACGCGCGCATGCACCGTCACCCACCATCTGTGCCGCGCGCGCTTCTCCCCTTCGAGAACATTCTACAATTCTCCTAATTCTCCAGTGGACGCGCATGCGCCGTCGCGCTTCGAGAACATTCAACAGCTGACAGTGCATGCGCCGTCGCGCTGTATATATACTCAAGGTCGGCGCTCGCTCGCTCAGTTGCCGCTCGTCGGTTGGTTTGTACGGCGCGTCAACGTCCAAGGTCGCGGTGAAATGAATGCCAACGAATCCACAAACACAATGATCGACGTCCCTTCGACCAGCGCCGCCCTTTCGCATACGTGTGTACGTGTTCACTCATTTAACACCCCCTCCTACAACCACGTTAACCAATTTAGCCATCGACCCAAGTAAGTCGCAATTTAACACCCCATTTCACAACCACGTTAACCAATTTAGCCATCGACCCAAGTAAGTCGCACTTTAACACCCCGTTAACCAATTATATGCTCCGCATCCTCCTCAGTGTTCCCCCGAGGGAAGCTGCGGGCAATCTTTTTGCGTGGCAGTGGCCTATTGTATAGACAAAAGCACGCCAGAGCCCCCCCCCCCCCCCTCCTTTTTTAGAGCGCGTCTATTTCTCTCTTCACTTTCATTCCCATATTTCTTCCCCATTCCCCCTTCCCTTAGTGCAGGGTAGCAAACCGGATGCTCCATTTTCTGGTTGACCTCCCGACCTTTCCCTCATTTTATTCTCTCTCTCTCTTTCTCCAGCATGGGTCAAAGTCCCGAAGTGACTGCGGACCGAAATAGCCGCGTCTGGTTTAGCTTTTTCGGCACGTTCCCACCTATCTGGAAAGCGGACGCGGATTATTCGCAAAAGCGGAAAAGCTCGGGGCCGCTTGCACGGACTGCTCTCGCCGACAAATTTTCTTCGTGCGGTAAAGTTGGCCCGCTTTGGCCGCAGTCAATCAGGCCTCGAAATGGGCGTGCAGAGTAACGCGTAGTGCTGCAAGATATTGCACGTTCACCGTAGATCTGTGGATTGCGCCGCCCTCACGGCTACGACGGCGGTACTATAATGCCTAGTTCACACTGAAACATCCACCTTCTACAGCGACCGAAATTCCCCTGCCGCCGAAACGCAGCGTCGTTCGCACTGGACGCGCCCCGCGCCGCCGAATATGCCATATACTACGGGGCGAACGCGGGATGGATGCGCTGTCACCCGGTTGTTGTCGCGGCTCGCAAACGCTACTACGCTATCCGGTGGTGTATACTTCGACGATTCTCGTACGCAAGAAGCAAGAAAAGACAGTACTGCTTGCTTTGCTGGCAAGTGGCTGTCTTGTAATGCACAAAGAGCAGAAAAACCACTGACGCCAGCAGCGTTGGTAGGTTCGTTTTGCTCTGCAAGACCGCAACAAGCTCGGTCACGCCAACAGCATGCTCGGTCACCTCTTTCACGAAATACGGAGGCGAAGTAGGTGCAGAGTAGGTTAAACTCCCGTTGGTTTTAACATTCAGTTATGTGCACTGCGGCATAACAAGTGAGTAGGGCTTGGCCACCATTTTTCGAAATTCCTTGACTAGCGCTCCTATTGGTCCGCGGTGACCGGTTCGGCGGCAGACGCCGCAAAAATTGGTCCGAGAGCGATCGGTGCGGAGAGGGCTCTTTCGGCGGATATCGCTGCCACCGAACCGGATTCGGAGCACTTTCGGCGCCGGAATGCTCAGTGTGAACGCGGCCTAAGGCGGCGGAGCGGGCAAAAGGCAACGCAGTCGGTCTCAACAGTCGTTCCAATTCCACCTAGATAATATCAGGGCTGCTCACTGTATCTACGGTGGGCTCTGACGTCACTCTGTTTAAACCAGTGTATTTCGCTGTACACACGTGCCTACGCTTGCTCTCGTCGCTCGACAGACATGCATTTCCAAGCCCGACGAACGTTTTCGCGGTGTGCTTGTTGGCGACTCGGGAAGACCGTCTTTTTCTGTGTTCGTGAACTGTGGCGTGGATATGTGAGGCGTTTTGTGCACTGGACATTCGCAGTCTGTACGGCTGCATACCCGAACTTTTGCGCAATGCTACATGGCGAATAGTCGCGGCAAATGGGCCGAATTTGTGGCGAGTGTCCTCGTTTCTTAAGGACAACCGAAGAACAAAATGCCTGGAGCGTGTCCTTCGTCAAGCTGACTTCGACATCCGTGTTTTTTTTTTTTTTCGTGACCCGAAGGTACGTGTGCCTGTCTGCATATTTCAAAGTCGTTTCAATATGGCCCCATCTCCTAGCATGTTCGTACTTGCACTAAAATAAAGGTGTCGTGTCTGCTTCTTACTTGGCGTAAGCTCTGGCATTAAAATAATAAACGCGCGTGGCAGTACGTTTTCAGAACATTACAGGGGTGCAGGCGGGCTTCAGTCTGTTGTAGCAGCTTCGGGAGCAGGAATAATACGGTTTTGAAGCAGTTTTTCAGCAGTAAAGAAGGGATTTTTGGAGCAGATCTTGAGCAATAAAAGGTGTGTTTTGGAGCATCAGAATTTAGTTTTGGAGCAGATTTCTGGGGTCTCACTTGACTGTAAGAATTTTTACTTTCTGGTGAACACAAAACATTTCAATGGTTTTTTTACTAAGCATGCAATGCTAATCAAGCGACCAGACTTGCCCGAGTTGTATATATTGAACCTTACAACATCAAAGGTGAAAGCTCAGCAACTAAAAAAAAAAAACATAAGCAGCGTTTTGGACAGCTACTGGACCTCAAACGAATTAAAAAAATTTAATGCCACCAAGGTCTTCCGATTTCGAGCAATCTTTAGAGCAGCTAAATTTTCCACTTTGGAGCAATATGGAACAGCTAACTTCAAATACTCGAGAAGCAAGTTGCATTTACATTCAAGGACATGAAAAACTATTCTGAGGCTTGTGTGAAGAGCTAGAAATATTTAGATTCATTGCAAATTTCATGGAGCCAATCATACTAGAAGCACTCTCTTTCAGTCGATGATGCAAAAATAACGGCGCCATGCTGTTAAGCATGCTGGAAAAACTTGCTCAGTGATTATTTCTGTATCAAATATACAGAATACTGGATCATTCCCATACTCTTGTAGAATACTCCTTTAGCACTAATTGCTTTAAATGCTCATTTTTCCCTCTAACTATTAAAGATTGGAACTCGCTGAAACCCACCTTAAGCACTGAATCCTCCATAAACTTTTTTCAGCTGCGATTGTTGAAAGTGAATTGCTTGCCTCGCAAATCGCTCTAACATCACATCATCAATATATAAAATAAACGAGTCAGTGTCATATTGCTAATACAAAAGTTTTGTTTTTTTATGATTGTTATTTTCAAGTGACATGTTTTTCGATTAGTTTATTGTTCATAAAATTATTTGAATAAGTTGTTCAATAAAAATGCCTACTTGTTTTCCCTACCCCATATTACAAATGCATGCATTATCTTTTCACGGTCGTTTTCAACCATAACCTAGTTATGATTTTGTTTTGCTACTACTAAAATTGTTTGATTGCGTGTTCTTTAACGGCAATGTATAATATTAACCTTTGATTTGCATGTCATTTTGTAATACCGGCTTTTTTGTGTTTTCTATCAGTTTGAGTTTGTGTAAACAAATATTCGTTTTCATATGCCTTCCCTGCTATAATCTCTGATGAGATTGGCAGTATTGTTAAATAAATAAATAATAAATAAATAAATAAATAAATAAATAAATAAATAATAATAAATAAATAAATAAATAAATAAATAAATAAATAAATAAATAAATAAATAAATTTGCATCCTGCGCACGATCACAATATACAAAAATTGCTAAGCTTCTCAAACACTGTGGCGTGGCCAGCGCCAAGAGCTTCTAACAGTCTTTTCGGGTGACACCCGAATCTAAACAATAGATGCACACGGCATGCAATCTGCTGTTTTTGTGCTGGTTGGACCGAATATTTGCGAGGGACATTATCAGAGACTTCATTCGTTGACTTTCGAACACTTCTTTATCATTTTGTTGTGATATGTGCATATAAGTGTGTCTGCATATCTGTGCCCGAGTGTTCTATTCTCCGTGTACTGCTTTGTTTGTTTTACCTTAAGATACGTGTTCAAGCTTCACTCAAGGGCTATAAGGTGTAGACGGTGGCATAGTTGTGCGCCAACATCTCCTTATATATCATACCAATAAATAACGGCATGCAATAGTAAACAGGCGAACACACCCCTTACCACCCACATCTACGCCAGTGAGCTTAAGATGCTTTTTTGTGTGTGTAACTATCCTGTAACATTGAAGGAGGGGGTTGTCTGCCAGTGCGATATATACACCGTGCGTGAAAAATGTGTGCTGTCGCCCAATGCCGCAGGTGGGCATCGTGAACTTCCAGGGCGACCCGGCGCTGGCCGTGAAGGAGATCAACGCTTGGCTATTTCGGGTGACGGGCCACAAGATGAGCGGCCTGGCGAGTGTCGAAGACGTCAGCCTCTCCACCCGGGTCCTCATGGTGGGTACGTCGTTCATGCGCTGTCTCTGGCTCGACAAGTTTCCGAGCTGTACACGGCGCCCATGCCTTCTTCGCCGACGGCGGCAAGATCAACGTGCCGACCATGTGTTCGCGTCGCATCTGCAACTACTGCCACGTCGAGCGGTTGGCGTGCCACGTCCTGGAGCTTCCCTGCATGATGGAGGACCTGCAGCTGCTCATCCTGCTGCCAGACGTGCAGTCGGACCTGTCCTACATCGAGGCCAACATAACGCCTCAAGACGTGCAGGAGTTCGAACGCCGGTACACGCGCAACCCGCTCGACATCACGCTGCCGAAGTTCGTGCTCGACGAGCACGTCAGCATGGCGCGCTACCTGGCGGCCGTCGGAGTACGAGACCTGTTCAACAAGGAGGAGGCCGACCTCACTGGCATATCAGGTACGTTAGCCCATGTCAAACATGCACGGACGCATCGTTTCCTGGGCATAACAATCGACAGAAGTCTGTCGTGGAGCCCGCATTGTGCGTACTTGAAGAAAGATTGCTATCTATTGTGCATAAAATGAAATTCATGTGCGGAAAACCATGGGGAACTTCTGTGGCCTCCATGCTACAGCTGTACAAGGCCCTATTTCTGGGTCTATTGCGCTACAGCTTGCCGGTACTGACTAACACTTGCAAATCCAATACTCATTCATTGGAGAGTTTGCAGGGTCAGGCGCTGCGTATCTGCCTAGGACTGCCCCGATGCGCTTCTACTTCTGCCACAATCGTGCTCTCCAAAGACCAACCAGTCAGGACATATAGAGTTGTGGATTGCCTCAGAGCGCATATTCGACATGCTAGCCGCGTCCCCGACCACCACTTGGCCCTTCTACCCTCCGGAAGACCACGCACTACGTTTTTAGACGTCATATCCAAGCACCTAAACAGCATTCCATCAGGATATACGCCAGCTACGAGAATGGCATGTTCTCTGGGGTGCCTCTACCAGCCGCAAGTACGTCTAGAAATTCCGGGTATCAAAAAGAAAAGCAATCACTCCAGAGTAGAATTGAAGCAAGCAACACTGCTATTATTACATGAGTTGTACTTGGACTGAAAGCAGATATACACTGATGGGTCCGTCTCGTCCAGCAGCTCATCAGGTGCCGCTGTAATTAAGGCTGCAGCAATGACAATCAAATTTAAGTTGTCGCATATGACTACATCTACGGCATCAGAGCTTGCTGCTATAAGGGCTGCTTTACAATATCTCGTTCAAGAGCGTCCAGAAAAATGGGTCATATTCTGTGATTCGAAGGCAGCGCTTCAGAGTTTGCATTCTGCCATGCGTAGGAGGAATCATGAACAATTGGTACATGAAATAAGACATTGCCATCATGAAGCTCTATCACGAGGGCATGATATTATATATCAATGGCTGCCTGGACATATCGGTATTACCGAAATCAATTAGCCGATGATGCAGCCCGCTCAGCCCATGAAGGAACCCGTGTGGTACCGATTCCTCTACCAAGGAATGATGCAGCAAGACAACTTTACCTGCTGGCTCGAAATTTGACACGCACGTTCTGGTCGTCTACCAGCTTCCAAAGGCGTCACTTATATGAAATGGATCCTTGGTTCAAGATAAAGCTACCATCAAAAATATCCCGCACCGATGCGACACTGTTATGCCGCCTTTGGTTGGGTGTTGCATTCACAAAGGTGTACTTTTTTCGCATTGGTATGGCAGACACCTCTACATGCGAATACTGTGGAGCTGAAGAGACCATTGAACACGTCCTGTGCAGTGGCGCTTGCTACGACACACATCGATGCCAGCTCCGGATGGTTTTGAATCAACTTGACTCCAGACCATTTTGTGTGCTGAAGATTCTAGGACCTTGGGCATCTGACTCAGTTGCGCAGAAAGCGACTAAAGCACTGCTACTTTACTTAAAGTCAACAAACCTGAGCGACCGCCTGTAGACTGTGTGTGCTCCCCCGAGTGTGCTCGTGATTGTGTGTACCTTCTTATCTCTCTACAACCTCTTTTTTCCCCTTCATCCCTTCTCCAGTGCAGGGTAGCAAACTGGATGTGCGTCTGGTTAACCTGCCTACTTTTCCTAATTGCATCTATATATATATATATATATATATATATATATATATATATATATATATATATATATATATATCACTCTCTTGACTCCAGACCATTTTGTGTGCAGAAGATTCTAGGACATTGGGCATCTGCCTCAGTTGCGCAGAAAGCGAATAAGCACTCCTACTTGACTTAAAGTCAACAAACCTGAGCGACCGCCTGTAGACTATGTGAGCTCCCCCGAGTGTGCTCGTGATTGTGTGTACCTTCTTATCTCTCTGCAACCTTTCTCCCCTTCATCTCTTCCCCAGTGCAGGGTAGCAAACCGGATGTGCGTCTGGTTAACCTCCCTGCCTTTCCTTGCATCCTTATTTCTCTCTCTCTCTAGCCCTTGTGCTTTCCCTGTCACTTGAAGATGCATTACTGGCGATGAACCGGGCCCAACTGGTACAAGCCTGAAAACAACTGTAGTTCTGTCTAGTTTCCAACAGGTTCCAGCGTAGTGGGACCACTACGGCTCCCATCTGGTCCCAGTCGGGACCAGCTAAAGCCTGAAGGTCCACAGTTCTTCCCAGTAAGAGGGCCAAATAGGCCAGATGGCTGCCATCTGGCCCTATAGCTGTTGAGGGGTCCCAGCTGGAAGGTCGAGACCATACTCGACTAAAACAAACTGACACCAGCCGCGGTCCAGACGCATGAGCAACTGGAGTAAAAAATTTCGAGACCAATATAAGTTCCTGTAGCGCATACTAATCTACAAGACCAATGTCCCAGCGTACGTGTTAGACTTGAGTACGTACACTGGTTTCCTGGAGCAGTCGCTCTGATGGAAAACTTGGGAACATTCCATGCTATAACTGCGGGCACATTGGTTCAATTGTTCATGCATAGTTTCTTTTGACGCGAGTAGTTGCAATGCATGTGGTTTAATCTTGTTGTTGACTAGCTAGCACTGTTCTTATCGATCCTCGCCGAAATGCGTACGAGATGAAAGACAGTGATGTAACGTTCCATTGATAATGAAGTCATTAGCACAATAGCCTATCAAGTGCTTTACCTATTTGAGTTTAAATCCGTTATATCCTACAGCATCTAATCGAATAACGTTCTATCGAAGCTGAGCTCTGAGTACTGCAGCCGTCATGAACACAATTGCCGGAGGCTTTCTTTTAATCTAATTTATCTGGCTTTTTTTTTTTGCTGGCACTGTCTCGCGCAGACGAGAAGGAGCTGTGTGTCCACGACTTCCTGTGCCGGTCGCGTTTCGAGGTGACCGACGAGGACCCCTTGAGGCTGGACATGAACGGCTCGAACTCGCTCAAGCTGGCCGAGCGCACCGATCTGCCCAGCTTCGAGGTGAACCGGCCCTTCATGTTTCTCGTGGTCGAGCGGCAGCGCAAGGCCATCCTGTACATCGGCTGCCTGCGAAATCCCAACGTGACGTGAGCGTGGTGGACGTCTGGCGCATCAGCCGTTTCGCAGGACTTGACGGAAGGCGGCGCCGGTGAACTACCACCTATCGCACTCGCGCCCATTGTCAGCGCCACCTCGTAGTCATCACGAGACGTTCGTTACGCCATCGGACTTGTCACTTGACTTTACGACGTTGTTGGTCGTTATGGTGACCTCTTTCCCCAGTGCGCAGCCCTCGCAGTCTTGTCTGTTTCGTGGGACGGACGTTCGAAATCACGTGTATGATAGGCCCTGTATCCGAAGCGAGGTGTAGAGTGTGACGTCACCAGCTATGCTGCTGCGCACCGCTGATTGAGATGGCTGCACTGGTCGTAGATTACGTGTGGCGCAGCTGTGGCCGGGCAGAAGTGGCGAAGAGCTACTTGTATAAGGACACGTGGCCCGCACCTGAAAATTCGGCTACGAAGGATCAACGCACGCGTGGTGATAGTGGGCTTCTCGGGTTCGCATTGCAACAACAGTGACCCAGAGATTGCTTAACCTGAAACTTAGATTTACGTTAATATAATAATTCATGCGTCTTTTCCAACTTACTTTGTATACCCACTACGTGACCTTAAGGGTGCAGTAGCGTGTGTGGCCTTTTGTAGTAGGTGACTGTTTTTAAACTGTGAAGCAATTCGGATAATCCTATATTCTCGCGCCCGATGACAATATACGCTTGTACCACGTATTATTACGGGAATATTTCCTGGTTGTATTGTGAAGCATGTATACGCAGAACTCTTGTGTTTGTAACGCATGAAGGTTACTTTCGCGGCATTGACAAGCAGAGGAAATAATTTTGACCGTATTCACAAGCAGAGTGGTGTTTTCGAGGTAGAGCACCCGCTTCCAACCCTAACGACCCGGGTTCGATTCACACTGAGACCGAGAGTTTTACAGCGAACGCTGTTATGAGATCCAAAACTCGGGTCACGAGCAGCCGCAGTTGTCCACCACCGTCGCCGGTGTCCGTAGCCACAACCACGATATTATAAAAAAAACTCCCAAGCATTTCCCCGAGGGTGAACATGGTCAAGTGCGAATACACGGGGTGATGCTATGAGGGGTATTTATTAATTCGCACTATTATATTTATTAATCATAATATGGTGCCTTTATGGTGTAACGGTTCCTGGGAATCGCAGTTTGATCACACGGGGGAGTTTACGTTAACTCACTGGCGAATGCCAACGGATTTTAACTTTACTCCCCCTCACGACCCGCTCTCGACGGGAGACCGAGAGAGAAGGCGGGCGCGCGAGAGAGAGGGGTGCGCGCGCAGCTGCAGCGAGCGAGGAGAGCGGAGGAGCGAGCGAAGGGGGACTATCAGCGTCGCGTCCGTGGCTTATTCGGTAGAGCGTCGCGCTGCGGCCCGCCAAGTCCTCTTTCTTTTAAAGATAGAGAGAAGACTGCGGACGCCGCCGACGGCGGTGGATGGTTTGGGGTCGCTTATAAAGTGTATTCACACTTCAAAAAATTAGTAACAATGACACAGTGGAGCTCTAGCCCGGGTCCACTAGGTGCGAGCCCAGTAGTCTACCACTGAGCCACGCCAGTGATTGAGACTTGTTGGCAAACTCGCTTTAGGCAGACTTCATGTCGGGAAAGTTATCGAGTTTATACGACTTGCAAAGCGTTTTAAAACGGGGGAAAAAACAACCAGTCGTCGCACAATGCGAATAGCGAAACGCGTGGGTCGTCCAATGCTCCAACCCACTACAAAAGCTTGTTCTTGTTCACCCATTGACGGTGGCGCATACCCACTTCAGGCAGCAATTCCTCGTCATCATCGGGCACTACGTGAACAGTTGGCACGAAATCTCTTGCTAGGTGTTCAGCGGATACCACGCTTCTCAGAAGAATGGACGAAAAATAGCATGGCGAATGCCATGTGCCTACTAGACACAGATTTTTATTAATAATGCCGTAGTGGGTATCACGCTATATAGTGTGCTTGCAGCAAATCGTCCCATGAGCGTTTAGAAAAGGGCTCTGAAAGGCAGCTCTTCTAGCTTTGGAGGTGACTGTGCTGCGCCTTCCGCGCAAGCTTGGCGTATTTTTTTTATTATTTTATTTGCATCTTTATCGATTTTTAGGTCACTCAAAGATGATTTTTCGTTCACAACCAACGACGCGGAAATTTCTGCGAAACGAGTTGTAACGTACTCTCGTTAACGTTGTTTATGGCGGCAAGTCGCTGGAAAGCAGAGTAAATACGAGGTGTAGAGTATATATACACTCAGTGCTATGTCGTCACGCCGACGGTGGCGCCAACCAACGGTGCGCCTCGCGCTCAATGAATTTATGCCGTGGCCTCCGCGATCGGCGCGCCGCCGGCAGCAAATCGCGGAGGCCACGTTTATGCATAGCAAGCACGAATGTGAGGTGCAGTGGTTTAAACACCCGCCTTGCAGACATGAGGGCCCGGATTAAAATATCCTGACACCAGAGAGAGAGAGAAACGTTTTCTTCAATAATTTTTCTTTATAAATGATCGTCCTGGTAAACGATCAACAAGAGATAAACTATGCTGTCTTATGTGGCTGACGGATAGACGGGCGAAATGCGTTCTTGTCATAGCAATACTTACGCACTGAAAAAAAAAAAGTAATATTTAAGCGTGATTTTCCTGTAACACACCAGTAACCGGTGAAGCTGAGGGGAAGTCTTAGCAAAACTGTGCTAATATATAGGCAGGATCAAAACTAAGCAAGGTCCCTCCTCTCTCTCGCCCCACTGATTCGTTGCTTTCACACTCAGTTGCTCTGTTATGCCCTTCCCTCTTCATTTTGCACGCCCTTTACGTAAACCTCGCCGGTTTCCTTTGCCTATCGCTATGCCATCTGTCGAGTTTGCTATGCTATACTGCGAACATCGCGGTTTTCGAACCAAGCCCGACTTTTGAAGTGAAACGATGAACCGAGTAAAATTGATAAATTATACCCTGAGGATTCTAATGTCTTTTGTTTCACCATCATAGACCGACTATTTGGGGAGAAAATCAAGGTGATGGTTTCATTTTTTGAATTTCGCGCTGAAATCACCGTGCGTGACGTCACGAATTTCACAGTGCATTTTTCGTATTTTTGTGTTACTGGCTGAACATAATTTAGTAAAACTTGGCATGTTAAGTCTACGGCCCCCTCAGTTGACAATGTATTTCATTCATGTAGATGACCCCGACAATCATTATTAAAATGAATATTTGATGCAGCTTCGCGCTATTATTGGCACCGATCGAGGCTGAAAGAATTGCAGTACTGGGCAGCCTTCTTCTGTGTTTCTCTTTGTTTCTTTCTTTCTTTACTCCTCTCTTTTTATTTATTTATTTTTCACATTTCCTGTGATTTCTTTATTTATTTCATCTTTCTCCTTCCTATTTTCCTCTCTTCTTTCTCTCTCGCTCTCTTTTCATTTATTTCTATTTTTACAGGCGGTTTTGCCTGCCCTGCGCCAAGCGACGACAACATACGGCAGCCCGAGCCCCAAAAGTGGTCCGCACCTAATATCGTCACCAAGGCGCTCGAAGAACAAGCGGCAGAAACTTCTCTGCGGCCCCAGCGCGCGCTTATCAGTCTACAGCTGGCTATGCCTGCGTTTCGCTAAGCGACGACTACAGCACGCAATAACGGCATACGACAGATCGGCCCGCTAAAGTGCTCCTCAGCTAACGAGAGGGAAAGAAAGACGGAACAATGATCCGCAGTTCGTACACTTCCCGCTTGGGAGTATAATGTTTTTTTTTTTTGAAGTACATTTTGAGGAACCTCATTATGCGTGCATTTCTCAACACACGCGTCTAGCTTATAGCCATTGAAAATTTTGTGTTAATAATTTTGAACAGTTTTCTTGCATATAAATAAAAATGTGCATTAATTTAAAAAAAATGTGCTTTTCTGGCCAAAGTGGTGAACCTATTGCTTTTGAAAATGTCCTATGATTCGACTTTTAAAGTCTTGACCCATTCAATAAAACGGATGGCAAATTAACCAGGGTGGTACTCAGGCTGATGATGATGAAGATATAGCCCCGCCGCGGTGGTGTAGTGGCTAAGGTACTCGGCTGCTGACCCGCAGGTTGCGGGTTTGATTCCCGGCTGCGGCGGCTGCATTTCCGATGGAGGCGGAAATGTTGTAGGCCCGTGTGCTCAGATTTGGGCGCACGTTAAAGAACCCCAGGTGGTCGAAATTTCCGGAGCCCTCCACTACGGCGTCTCTCATAATCATATGGTGGTTTTGGGACGTTAAACCCCACATATCAAATCAATGATGAAGATATAATGACTGGGCGTGGGAGCGTTTCTGGACAATATGGCCGTTGTAAATCTCGTAATATTTGAACGTTTATGGGAAATCTTCTATTATCCGACTTTTGTAAGTTTTGTTTCATAACAAAACCTATTCTGTGGGCATTTCTGACTAAAATTGTTAGCCATTGAAAATGTACTGTTCGACTTTCGAATATTTAGTGCCAATAAAACTGTGTATGGTTGCATTTAATTGTGACTAAAAAGGTGAGTCTAGTTGTCTATACGTGACTTTGGGAGGACTTGCATGTATATTTTCCTTTCAAGATGTTTTGTAACCTTTGAATAAAACTTATGTTTGGATGGATTATCACACTGAGTCAAAATGATTCGAGGCCTTTCGGAAATCTAGCATGCCCGGCAGAGCAACCAGACTGATTCAAGCCGCCATAGAAACTGGACGATTGCGAGGACCCACATTAGCTCGCGACTGGTTGGGCCAGTATGGGTATCTAGCCTCAGTGCTGACGTTGGTCCCTCTTTTTCAGTCGCATGCAACGATATTCCCTACAAAATGAGCATTGCGGATGCATCAGAGCAGTGGGTACACTGCAAGTACCATTTCACAATTAATACAGTTGAGTCGCAAATATTCGTAAAAATCTCTTGTCGTGCAAGCGTTTCTGCTGTGAGACACGTTAATGAACAGTACAAAGAAAGGGGAATTCCCCCACGGATGCCGTGAATACATTCTTTTTCAGGAAGGTGCGCGGTGGATGCAAAAGCAAGTGACTAACATACTCCTACGTTTTCTACGAGATTGAGGATTAAGCCATGTATGGTGAGTGGAACGAACTGCATGGAAAGAGTCGCTCAAAGGGCCCCTGGTGTGCTGGCTTCCCCGCAACAAATGGCCAAAACTAACCGAAAAAGTTCAGAGTCTTATCACCCGTGATAAGTCCCAACATTTGTTCGGCGTCACACCTTGCATCGGATGGCGTAATATGAATCTGTTCCGAGCTGAAGGGTCCCTGGTGCATGGGCTTCTCTGCAATGAGTGATCGAAACTTGCCGAAAAAAGTTGAGGCTTTTATCGCCTCTGATAAGGTTCAACTTTTGTCTGACGTCACACCTTGCCGTGGAAGGCGTAGTGTGCGTTTGTTACGACTAGGTGGCGTTAGCAGCCACCTGATCTAAAGGGCACAGGCATGTCAATCCGTTCATCCATCCATCCATCCATCCAGCTATAAGGCCCCTGGTGCGTTGGCTTCCCCACAAGTGTTGGTCGAAACAAGCCGAAAAAGTTGGTGCTCTTGTCACCCCTGATAAGGCTCAACTTTTGTTTGATGCCGCACCTTGCTACGATGTTCGCAGTTTGCTGAGCTAAAGTTTCCCGAGCTAAAGTTTCCCTGAAGAGCTGGCTTCCCCGCAGTTGATGGTCGAAACGAGCCAAAAAAGTTGAGGCCTTTATCACCCCTGATAACGCTAAACTTTTGTCTGACGTCACACCTTGCAACAATGTGCACAGTTTGCGTATTTCCCGAGCTACAGCTTCCCTGAAAGGTTGGCTTCTCTGCAATAGTCAGTCGAAACAAGCCGAAAAAGTTGGGGCTATTATCACCCCTGATAAGGCCCAACTTCTGTCTGACGTCACACCTTGCCGTGAAGGACGTAATATGCATTTGTTGCGAGCTAAAGGGCCCCTGGTGCGTTGGCTTCTCCGCGATGGGTGGTCGAAACTGGGAAAAAAAGTTGGGGCTCTTATCACCCCTGATAAGGCCCAACATTAGTCTGACGTCACACCTTGCCGTGGAGGGCGTACTATGCATTTGTTGCGAGCGAAACGGCCCCTGGTGCGTTGGCTTCCCCACAATGGATGGTCGAAACTGGTGAAAAAAGTTGGGGCTCTTATCACCCCTGATAAGGCTCAACTTTTGTCTGACGTCACATCTTACCGTGGAGGGCGTACTATGCATTTGTTGCGAGCGAAACGGCCCCTGGTGCGTTGGCTTCCCCACAATGGATGGTCGAAACTGGTGAAAAAAGTTGGGGCTCTTATCACCCCTGATAAGGCTCAACTTTTGTCTGACGTCACACCTTACCGTGGAGGGCGTACTATGCATTTGTTCCGAGCGAAACGGCCCCTGGTTTGTTCGCTTACCCACAATGGATGGTCGAAACTGGCCAAAAAAGTTGGGGCTCTTATCACTCCTGATAAGGCTAAACTTTTTTCTGACATCACACCTTGCCGTGAAGGGCGTAGTATGCATATGTTGCGAGCTAAAGGGCCCCTGGGACGTTGGCTTCCCGCAATTAATGGTCAAAAGTCGTCGAAAAAGTTGAAGCCCTTATCACCCCTGATAGGGCTCAACTTTTTTCTGACGTCACACCTTGCAACGATGTGCCCAGTGTGCGTATTCACTGCGGGGAAGCCAACTTTTCAGAGAAGTTTTAGGCCGGAAAATACGTCGGAATAAATGTGACGTCAAACAAAAGTAGCGCCTTATCAGGGGTAACAAGAGCCTAAACTTTTAGGGGCGAAGCTCCTTAAGGCGTGGGTCTGTACATCCTTCGATATATGTAGTGGTAGTAGTAGTATAGTGGTAAGTAGCCACCTCTTGTGTAGTTCTTGCAGTGTTCACTAGGTAGCAAGTTTTGTAGTTGATATATTTAAAACTAGGTGACGGTACTTGTAGTTAAGGATGCTTGTAGTTGATAAATTTTAAATTAGATGGCGGTACCTGTAGTTGATGATGCTACGGCCCGTGTCAATGGGATCCCGGACTGAGGAACACACTCACCGACATTCCTCCCTCGGTCGCAAATAAATGTTTTATTTCCTCTTTCTCTCTTTCTTGTAGTTGGTAAACTTCAAACTAGATGGCGGTACTTGTAGTTAATAATGTTTGTAGTTGATAAATTTAAAACGAGATAGCGGTACTTGTAGTTCATAATTCTTGTAGTTGATAAATTCAGAACTAGATGACGGTACTTGTAGTTGATGATGAATGATTCGAGGTGTTATGATAGGAATGAAGTCACATATGGCGCGTCTCATTGGTGGAAGGCAATCGTTCGGCGACGTATGCTAGGGGGATCGTTGTAATAAAATTCGTTCGCTGTTGGCGCGCGCTCGGAGTTGCCAGATGGACGATTTCCCCCTACAACCCATACAGGAACCGCTCACCCTTCATTTCACGGATTATAAAGCCGTCACAATGAAGGGACATCGCAAGTCATTCATCGTCTCCAAGAACAAATCAAAGTTGATTTGTATATATCATCATCAGCCTGACTACGTCCACTGCACGACAAAGGCGTCTCCCATGTTCCGCCAGTTAACCCGGTCCTGTGCTTGCTGCTGCCAATTTATACCCGCAAACTGTCCACCTAACCTTCTGTCTCCCCCCTAACCCACTTGCCTTCTCTGGGAATCCAGTTAGTTACCCTTAACGACCAGCGGTTATCCTGTCTACGCGCTACATGCCCGGCCCATGTGCATTTCTTCTTCTTGATTTCAGCTATGATATCCTTGACCCCCGTTTGTTCCCTAATCCACTCTGCTCTCTTCTTGCCTCTTAAGGTTACACCTACCATTTTTCTTTCCATTGCTCGCTGCGTCGTCCTCAATTTAAGCTGAACCCTCTTTGTAAGTCTCCAGGTTTCTGCTCCGTAGCTAAGTACCGGCAAGATACAGCTGTTATATACCTTCCTCTTGAGGGATAGTGGCAATCTACCTGTCATAATTTGAGAGTGCTTGCCAAATGTGCTCCAGCCCATTCTTATCCTTCTAGTTATTTCAATCTCGTGGTTCAGCTCCGCGGTTATTACCTGCCCTAAGTAGACATAGTCTTTTACGGCTTGAAGTGCACTATTACCTATCTCGAAGCGCTGCTCTTTTCCGAGGTTGTTGTACATTACTTTCGTTTTCTGCAGATTCATTTTAAGACCAACCTTTCTGCTCTCCTAGTCTAACTCCGTAATCATGAGTTGCAATTCGTCCCCTGAGTTACTCAGCAATGCAATGCCATCGGCGAAGCGCAGGTTACTAAGGTACTCTCCATTAACTCTTATCCCTAACTGTTCCCATTCTAGGCATCTGAAAACCTCCTGTAAGCACGCGGTAAATAGCATTGGGAAGATTGTGTCCACCTGCCTTACACCCTTCTTTGATTGGTATTCTGTTGCTTTCTTTATGAAGCACTATGGTAGCAGTTGATCCCCTGTAGATTTCTTCCAGGATGTTTATATATACTTCATCGACGCCCGGATTCCGCAGTGTCTGTATGACGGCTGATATTTCTACTGAATAAAACGCCTTCTCGTAATCTATGAAGGCTATGTATAGTGGTTGGTTATATTCCGAGCATTTCTCTATTACCTGATTGATAGTATGAATGTGGTCGATTGCTGAGTATTGTATATATATATATATATATATATATATATATATATATATATATATATATATATATATATATATATATATATCGTTGAGATTTGTACACACACACACACACACAGACAGCATTTCTCACGTCTTTAAATGATGATGACTGGGCGAATTTCCCGGAATATTCACGGTTTACCGATGATTCCCTCTGGAGCTTCGGCCACTCATCCTCATTGACCCCTTGGATATGCTGGGATTTTTTTCTCTAATTTTTTACCTTCCCCTGCTGCGGAGAAGTCAGCTTTTCAGGGAAGCTTTAGATCGGGAAATACGCACACTGGACACATCGTTGCAAGGTGTGACGTCAGACAAAAGTTTAGCCTTATCAAGGGTGATAAGAGCCCCCAACTTTTTCGGCTCGTTTCGACCAACCATTGCGGGGAAGCCAACGCACCAGGGGCCTTATTGGATAGATGGATGGATGGATGGATATGGCTGTAACCTTGAGATCGGGCGGCGGCTAACGCTGCACCTAGCCGGAACAAACGCACGCTACGCCCTCCACGGCAAGGTGTGACATCAGACAAAAGTCAGACCTTATCAGGGGAGATAAGAGCCTCAACTTTTTTTCGCTAGTTTCGACCATCTGCTGCGGGGAAGCCAGCTTTTCAGGGAAGCTTTAGATCGGGAAATACACAAACTGAGCACATCATTGCAAGGTATGACGTCAGACAAAAGTTGAGCCTTCTCAAGTGTGATAAGAGCCCAACTTTGTCGGCTTGTTTTGACCAATCATTGTGGGGAAGCCAGCGCGTCAGGGGCCTTATAGCTGAATGGACGGATGGATGGATGTATTGATATGGCTGTACCCTTTAGATCGTGCGGCGGCTAACGGTAATGGTATTTACTATAATGCATATTCCAAATTGTAACATTTGCTATGGCGTATAGGGATGCATTCACTTAATCGCACAACTACTGCACAAGCATTCAGGCTTTATTACATGTATATGTACTTAGCAAGTCCAGGAATAGAGGAAACGTTTTTAAAAAGTTGTTAAGTATGGACACCTCATCAAGATGGGGTGCCAGTCTGGGCTGAAATCAATTTCTTTATTGATGTCTTAGATGAAGAGCCATACGCATGAAATGCATACTTGAAGCAGTCGTTTGCACCGAAATATGGTCTCGCACGAGCGTTTTCCACAGACTGTGCAGTCCCATAAGAAAGAACATCTCAAAGGGCACTTCACCAGGACATGTTGGGATTGATAGATTGATATGTGGGGTTTAACGTCCCAAAACCACCATATGGCTATGAGAGACGCTGTAGTGGAGGGCTCCAGAAATTTCGACCACCTGGGGTTCTTTAACGTGCGCCCAAATCTGAGCACACGAGCCTACAACATTTCCCCCTCCATCGAAAACACAGCCACCGCAGCCGGGAGGACATGTTGGGAGAAGGTTGCATATAGTATGTGATTAATGTTAAAATATTTTTTAATGTTTCATTGAAGGATGCCCCAAAACAGAATGGCGTCTTTGCAGTCAATAAAGCAGTGTTCTATTGTGCCTGCTGCATCGCAGAGACGACCATCAAGTGAAGAAACAAAAATACACTTCTTTTGCAACCATGGTTTTACCGGCAGCGTATCAGTATGAAGTTCAAAGTGGCAGCCTATTAGCCCTTAATTGTTAGCCGGCATTGAAATTGTGGCGTCCTCACTTCTATCTTGTGCCCGCGTGGCTGCCCACTCTATACTTTTGAATGAATACCTTTATCAACTATCTCAGCTATCTTATTCTAAGCTTAGAATAAGATAGCTGAGATAGCTTTTTACTTTTTTCCCCTTCAGGTACGAAGAAAAAAAAAAAACCCTGGCCCTCCCGTACACTCCCTTTCTGTTTAGCTTCCAGCAGGCTCGTGGGGACCAGGAGAAGGCATATGCAGCGTGAGACAAATCTCCGAACCTGTGCGCGCCCGTACTTGACGGATTCTACAAATTTTTGCGGAGGTCGATTGGACAGGCAATAATTAACTCCTTCAATGAAACCATTACCCTGACAAGTCGACACAATACCCCAACTACTCGAGCGATTACAAGGGGCTCATTTCCCAAGGTTCGATGCACATATCAGCTCTGTGGGAAGAAAGCTTATGAGCTAAAATGCTTAAAGTAGACTCCCCCTCCCACAAGGCGTGAGCAGGGTCCTCCTTCAGAGTAGGCGAAGGTAGAGTTACAAGCATATACAGTATCTCTAGGTGAAGGTTAGTCGCAGCGTCCTCGCCCCTCACCATTGTCAATGCATGGAGCTTACTCTGTACCCCCCTCCCTGTTATCTCAATGAACAGGGTTGCTTTAGCCTCCCTCTCCCGTGCGCACGCTTACGGCCCCTCTCACTCCATTTATCTCGCTCGTCGAGTCGCACGTAACCGCCTCTGTGCAGCTTGTTGCTGTCAGCAGACAGTTCATATCACAATAAAATGGGTCTTGGGTGCTGTTCTGGGCACTGCCAAAGTCCGCCATACTGTCATTTCGTAATGGTGGCATCTTGAGCCAATCAGAGGTCACGGCAGCTAGCGCTCTGGGCCAATCACGTCAGACCAATGGCACAATTTAAGAATGTCCAAAAAAGCACGCCAAGCTGCTCCGAGCCGCCGCAGTTGCCAGAGCTCAGACCAGGACGCAAGCATCCGACGCAGAGGGCCAGACCACGGAATGATTCAGGCACACGCATTTGAAACTATGTTGTAGGTATTTTATTCTACGTGGATCCTCGACCAAATTTGATGGAACTTAGTAGGCCAGCAGCAAGGACCTCCGTCAGCAACATGATGTACACGTTTTAATTGCCACAGCAGTGCACCGAAAGAAACAAAGTAATGATTAGGTTCATTTTGATTATACATTGTGGACTATGACTCACTCGCATGTGAACTGCATGACTTTTCGAGTAAGCTAGGAGAGAGAGAAAACAATTACCTGCCTGCTGCGAGAAACAACTCTTTTTTTTTTGCACATTTTCTTCTACAAGGAGCTAAATAGCGAAAAAAGCGCAACATGCCTAAATTTGCTCCAGACACCATAGGACACACAGATAGCGGTCTTTCTTGGTTGTCACATCCACCAGGCATGTCCCGCTGATGCTAAGAGCCAAGACGAAGCTTGATAAACGAACAGTCTGTGAATGATCACAACCGAGATGGTGCATATGTGCCCAATAAATATGGATAGGCTTAGCCGTTGCAGCTACAACAGCCACTTTACCTCTTCCTCCGGACTAGCAGTGTGTGGGGAAAAAAATTGTTAGAATGCTGGGACAGTCCGAAAACGTATTATACCAGTGACTGTTGTGCCTTCACCGGTAAATGGAGCTCGATCGAATTACCACTTGAAACCATACAAAGCCAGAAACAGCTGGTAGAAGCGGTAGGTCTTACCAGATGACATGATAAAATGAAGTGACTCCTATTATATGCACGCACATTGGACAGTATATTTCATTTTATTATTCTAGTGCATGCGTGTGTGTGATCGGAATGGTCATAGACCCAGCACTTTATACAAAGCTGCACACAAGACCAACTGCAGCGACATCTTAGATGAGCTCAATCAGATGAAAATAGCTAGCGAACTCCACTGAAGTAGGGTAAAGTTGTAAAATTATCGATTACACCTTTCCTATGACTTTCATGCTGCTTTATGCCTTTAGCAGTGTGCTGAACAGCTTACACACTGGCACAATGCTATTCTGCTGCCTTTAAAAAATGAAAAAAAAATGTCTTAGAGGAGCAATTGCACATGGGACCTGCGTTATGTGTAAGCATTCATAAATATTGCCACACAAATTTCTCGTGCGGTCCAAGTTTCACCGCATCTGGATAGTGAGGCATACATTAATGCTCGCAGAATGTGCCAATTGTCACTCGTCCCCTTGAATTCTGTACATGGAAAGTTTCGCACCAAGCCTTCCTTCTTTATAGCTGAAACATCATTACGATTGTGTTTTTTTTTTTTTTTGTCATGCAAGGTATCGCTGCAATTGGCCTTTTCGGTTTACACACAATGCTTTCATGAATGTAACAGTCACTTCAAAAAACATGGTTGCCGCGAAAGCAAAAGCTCTAAAAATAACGACCTTCAACTGGTTTAAGCTTTTCGACAGACAAACGCGGTAAGGGTTACGGCATGCTCAAGAGTACAACAACCTTCGTGTGACGTTCCAGCGAACGAGTGGCATCCCAAGAAAGCTTAGCAATAACAAAGCTCTGGTTGCCAAAAGAGACTGATCACATTCCGCACAACGAAACACACAGCAGGCAGTCTGTGCTAAAAGATAAACACGCTGCCCAAACAAGAAGCGATCGGGGGGTCAAGCTTAAGGGCCGCTGCGTTCAGACTATGCAAAGGCGACGTAACCGTGGAACGACGCATACGTCATGGAATGTATCTTTTTGTCTAACGGGAATGCACAAAAAGCCTACGCACATGCACGTGAGCTCCCTTATTTGCGGACAAGTCCTCCTATGGAAGTTTGTTGAGCCATAAACGTCGGCTCAACATGATAAAAAAAATCGTTCTTTTCACATGCATACACGATAGTCATCAGCCAGCTGTATTGCTTTCAGTCCTTGCTATCATAGAGGCTGCGAAAGTGCTCTGCACTGCGCGGCAGCCTCCTCGTGTTTGTCAATACCTCGCACTTCTACTAATACCCTTCTTTTTTCCCTCGTGCCAAACAGCCCAGGACCCAACAAGTTGTGCCATACTGTTTCTGCAACAGTGTTTCTAGACAAAGGAATAAACTGACTTGAACTCTCCATGAAGAGGCATGCTGTCCCTTTCGTTTCTCTTTAAAGTCAACCATATTTGCAAGTGAAGATCAAAACTTCAGGTATGACCAAACACAAACGAGAGTTTTCCTTTTACCTATGAAATGAAGAAAAATCTGTGTGTCTCAGTGCGCTCCCATCATAATTGAACAGGAGCCAGGACAAATGAAAAATGGACCATAGACATGACAGAGCAAGAAAAAAAAAAAAAAGACGACGCCACTTTTCCTTAATATCACACCAGTGTGCCTCGGAAACAACGTGCTAAACGTGCGGCGAAAAACAAGTAAACGCAAAAAGTGTGGACGCCCGACTCGCCTGTTTGTTTCTCAACTGCGAGCGTCAGCACTTTCATATTTCTCTATATGGTACACTTTGAAAAGCACGGTGGCGAATGTAAAGATAAAACTGCATGCGAAATCTACTCGTGCGCCATGTACACAATACATGTATATAGTTTTCTAAACTATGCCTATATGTGGACAATATACCTCTGTAATATACAACCAAACAAAACAGCTTTAACAAGAGATACAAAAAAAAGAACACCTAGAAATCTTTGGGAACAAAACAGTTACACCAGAAGAAATGCACCTAGAAAACAAAAAAAAGGTAACGGGACTCGCTCGGAACAGGAACTCCTCGTCGACCGCAAGAAGGAGACTGTATCAACACATCTTGATCACAATGTACTTGACGAAAATTAAGAAGAAGAATGATTTAAAAAGAAACACGCAAGCGTGGCGAGTTTCGGAAACTCGGAATTTAAAAGACGGCAAAGGGTTAATTCATCACCCAGTGCCAGCCTCCGCAAACTGTGAGCTTGCTGCAACAAAAGCAAAAAAAAAAAAAAAAAAAAAAAACTCTCTTTTTCCGGCAAAAACCATTCCGGCAAATACGCAGTGAAACCTCGATGTAATACGCATGTGAAGGGCGGACACACCTTTCCTGGGAAGGGGTCGCGCAGGTTACGGTCGGTTTGACCAGGTGAAAAATGAACAAGGGAAGATCGGGCAACAACAGCTGTCATGGCCGTAATGACTTGTTGCGTCCCGCTTTTGACGAATGGCGGACGTTTTGAAAACGAAATGATGGGCGTCAACGACGTGGAGCGCATTTCCTGCGTCTCATGAGAGGTGCAGTGCGATTTGGCATCAATGCGTCTGTTTCACGCATTGCGACGAGTGCACTGTTATGATTACTGTCCAACTCAGAATAAGAGCTTCGTACAAGATTACTAAAAGAAATCCAGTGCTGACGTATGAAGTAGAGCATGGAGTGGGATAGTAGATGGACAGAACACTTCATACGAACTTTGATTTCCTGACGTTAAACAACTTTCTGACATCTTCTTTAACCTAGCAATGGCACCTTAAATTTGCCAGATGCCAATAATTATTGTTCCGCTGCATTTTAGATAGAGGCATAAAGGTTTGAGGCCCGTGTGTTTAGATTTAGGTGCACGTTAAAGAACCCTAGGTCGTCGAAATTTCCGGAGCCCTTGACTTTGGCGCCTCTCATAATCATATCGCGGTTTTGAGACGTTAAACCCTAAATATCATCATCAATTTCTATCATCATATTGCCTTAAAAACAAGTATAATTAAAAAAATTTAATTAAAAGCGTTTAAAAACATTCAAGTTCTGTCAAGACATGTGACGATTTCCACAGCTAGAAAGAAATCTCAGTCTATCATTATGCACTTTTCAGTGACACGATTTATGTTGTCTACAAATTATACAGTAAATGAAGGTAACATATTCTTCTGTGCTCCAAATAAATGCTGTGCGACTGGCAGTAATACAGCGAAGCTGCAACGAAACATAAAAGAAGCTGCACTTAGCTGTATCTCAACAAAGTGATGCCAAATCACGTAAAAACTCATTTCGGTAGTTCAGCAACTGCAGCGCTAGATTTTGCTCGAGTGACTTCTGCAGAAAAATATACCCTATCGGGCGAGCCTCCACATCAGGCTCGGACTAACAGTGTAGTCAATGCGCAGCTATATGACAGGTGCGATAGCATTGCGCGGCACTGCGGCAACAACTCCACGCAGGAAATGCGCTCTGAGCGATTGCCGCTACAAACTTCAATAGCGTTGTGAGAAATTACAACTGCCTTCAGCAGCACAGAAGAATAAAGAAGAAAGAACATGTGAACACGAGAAGGGACACTCGAGGGGATGGGGGGCTGGGATCTGTGTACACTTATGAACAAATGCGAAGGGGAACATGTACAAAGGGATGACGTAATAATCCGGCACTGTGGACTTCGGCTCCCCACATCTGCCACATGCATCTTCCTTCGCACGGCTATGCCTTGAGCGGCGTTTCGAGCCCGGCTGCGCAACGAGATGGGCCGTATCACAAAAGTCGATATCATTGCCCGACTCGTGCTTCCGCAGTGTTAGCGTCGCGACGCCGCATTACTTCTCTCCCACCTCAAAAACAGTGAGCAAATGAAACTTCAAAATGCCGTGGCCTGCGTGCTCGGTTCAACGGGCATCAAAGAAATCATTCCAGCACCAGATTGAGCTAGCTCTCGAATCTCACAGAAGTGCATTCCCACGTTTCCTGCTACAGTCGGACGACAGTGCTGGGACATTTAATCGACGGGACTGCAACGTTGACACTTCACCATAGTCTGCTTCACCTCGTCTACTTCTGCTGGACAAATCGGGCAAGTACTGATGCCAAACGTGTTCTTGAATGATTATGCCGTGCGAAGTTTGACTGTTAGCTAATTGTCAATGCCATATGAATCCTTTAAAGACCGCTGAACCAAACTGACATCACAGCATAGAGGTGTACCCGAAGGTTAAACACAGAAAAAAAAAACCAAACAAGAGGAATCCAACAATGAAAACAGGGCAATGCCATGAAGGAACCATCACAGAAAATTGCTGCGGGTGGCAGGAGGGGAGCGGCCGGGAGTTGTTTCAATGGACGCGACGCTTGTATGCTTTGTTGGAGAATGCCTGGGTTGGCTCTCTCGGCTGTGGGCAGTTTCCTCCTCACTTGTGGGAGCGGGGGCTGGACCTTGAAGTAGTGGACCGGATCATCTCGGAGGAGACAGCGTTGCCTCGTCGAGCGACGTTCTCCGTAGATCCTAGCAACACCCGGCTGCTCTGCAGGCTGCCCATGCTTCTCGACATGATGCTGTCCCGACCAGTTCCTGCAAGGAACGTAGTCAAAATCATTTTTCATAATAACCAGTCTAATCAATGCGACAAAGTGAGTTAACTGGTCCACACAACTAAGGGTCTTTTGGGCAGCTTGCTACAGTGGTGCAAGACTGGACTAACAGCGGAGCTTGTGGCCGATCTAGAATCTGTTGACTTTTAGAACTTCGACCAAGTTGCTCTTGCTAGGTTTCTCTAGGCATTGCAAGACCTGGCTTGCAAGGTCGTAATTAGGAACATCTTAAACAACTTGAAATTAATTAGTATGACCTCAATTAGCTAAAACACTGTATTAGCAACACCCAAATGCACAGGATCTGCATTAGCAGCACATCTCAATCAGCAAGTTCCTAATCAGTGTGACATTAATTATAATCAACCTCAATTAGCAAAGAGAAAAGGGTAAATTTAAGGGCTTGTTTTCTTTGTTAGAGACAATATTAATGAGAACTAATAGACAATAATGCCAGGTAAAGCATGGGGGATGTTATTTGAAGTAATTTTTCTGTTTCAGTTATATTAGTTACAAAAGCATCAAGTACCGTAATTACCCGAATCTAACACGCACCTTTTTTCCGGTTAAGCGAGTTCATAAATCGCATGCGCGTTAGAATCGACTACGAAAAAAAAAAAAATGAATATGGTCATTATATTGCCATCGGCATTTCTAAAATGGCCACCACCTACATGCATCGGCATGGGGCGTCGGCCATTTCTGCCTATGTGTTTCCCATGTGCGGCATTTCGTACGTGTGCTCAGGAGTTCGTCATCTTGGTGTGCATTAGCATCGATGGCAAGGAAGAGCCAACTCCAAAAACTCGACAAGTGCACCACGAAGCCGCTTTTAAAAGAAAAGTCATCGCGTGTGCCGAAACGGACGTAAGTCGGGCTGCATCGCGGTCGTTCGGAGTTCCCGAAACGTGCGTGTGAGACTGGCGGAAACACAAGGAGAAAATTGTGGACAGCAAAGCTTCACATAAAGGCTTTGGTGGACCACAGCAGGGTCGGTTTCTGCAAATTGAAGAGCTGCTCACCGAGTATGTGCTTCAGCAGCGAGCGGCACAGCGGCCCGTTACGACAGAACTGCTCCAAGTGCGGGCTATGCAGTTAACCTTAGAAAAAGGTCTAAAGCGGAGCCAGTTTAAAGCGAGCAGGTGCTGGCTAACTAACTTTATGAAGAGAAAAGGCTTTTACCTCCGAAGGGCAACGGGCATATGCGAAAAGATTTGCGAAGGTGTACGATGAAAAGCTTCGCAGTTTTCAGAGGTTCGTCCTAAACTTGCGGCACAACGGCTACCTGCTTGTGCAAATCGGGAATGCCGATCAGACGCCTCTTTACTTCGACATGCCTGGCACCACAACCGTCGAAAAGAAGGGGGCAAAGCAAGTTCGCGTGCTGACATCGGTCCACGGTAAAGCTACAGTGACGGCAATGCTCTGTTACACGTCAGATGGGCACAAGCTTCCCCCGTACCTCATATTTAAATGAAAGACGCTCCCGAAAGGAGTCGCTTTTTCGAGTGGTGTGAGCGTGCGGGCCAACGAGAAAAATGGGTGCGCGTTGCTATCGATGTCTTACTTTTTTTTTTCATCGTGGAAACCAGGTGCGTGTTACAAACAAGGGCGCGGTAGAATCGAGTAAATACGGTACATAACACTTGTATATAGATGAGGGTCTGAGAGTACAAATACTGAAAACGGGGCCCTGCATTTTAGTGTAAATGTGAAGAAAGAAAAATGGACAAAAAGATAATTTCCCTCCGGCAGCACTTGAAGGTCGCAACCTTTGAATCCTACCTGTGGCAAGTTCTCAGACCTCTCTGCTCTCTAATAAATCATCTCTCTCTCTCTCTGCATGCAGTGAAAGAGAGATCCTTTCACCCACTTTTCTTTTTTCACCTTTACACTACAAATACATTGGAGACAACTATATGCCTGGCATAAAAATTTTTCAGCTAAACTGTCAGTCCGCGAGAAACAAATATGCATCGCTAAATTCCTTGTTTTCAGAGCTTCATTTCCGCTTTGACATCATCATGCTGACTGAAACTTGGTACACAAATGATGATAACCCATTTTCTATGCCTGGTTATAATGTTTTCTGTGTTAATCGCACGCACAGTAGAGGGGGTGGTGTCTGCTTACTTGTAAAAGAAACCTTTGATTGTCAACTCTTAACAGAATTTTGTTATTCAGAGCCTGATTGTGAAATGCTGACAGCTGTCCTAAGCAATTACGTCATCTCAGTTATGTACCGTCCTCCATCTGGAAGTATTACAACTTTCACGGCTCGTTTGGAGAGCCTATTTCACCACGCTAGGCTCAATAACCATGTAACTGTTTGCGGCGGCGATATTAATATTGACATGCTGTCTAATGGAACTTCACAGCATGAGATGACGTGTTTGTTTGATAGCTTTGGATTGGCTAACATGATTAATATGCCAACAAGAGTTACTGCCTGTTCATCTACATTAATTGATGTCTTTCTCACGAGCATTAGTTCTGAGGATACTAAAGCTGGGACCATTTCATGCGACATTAGCGATCACCTTCCCATATTTTTAGCTATTAGGCAACGAATAAAAAAGAAACGACTTTCCATACCAGTGCGTTCTATAACATCCAAAAATATTGAAAATTTTCGTCAGGAACTAATTAATACATCCTGGAACGATGTTCTCGCAAATGACAACCCGAACATTGCTGTCAATACATTCATAGAAAAATTTAAGGAGGTATATGACCATAACTTCCCTCGAATTACCCACCGCCCATCTAAAAAAATTAGGAAGCCATGGATCACACGGGACCTGTTGCATCAAATCGATGAAAGAATGTAATGTATAATGCATTTCTCGTCTCTCGTGACCCACAGCTACTTAGTACCTTCAAAAATTTCGCAATCGTCTAAATAAGGACATCCAAAAGGCTAGACAAAACTACTTTCATAACATTTTTATGCAATCAGCTGGAAATTCTGCTTCCACTTGGAAAAACATCAATAAAGTGTTAGGAACACCCACCTCAAATAGCGTAATTACGGAAATTACAATTAATGGTTGTGTTATTAATGGTAGTAACTTATCCAATACATTTAACGATTATCTAGTAAACTTAGCTTTTCCAGAAACATCTCTTGATGCGACATCATACGTTTCCAATAAATGCTCAAGTACTATGTTTGTAAGACCTACATGTGAAAGCGAGGTATATAAAACAATCATGCGGCTTAGAAATAGTAACTGCTGTGATTGTTTTGATTTTCAAATCAAACCAATTAAATACACCGCCGAAATAATTGCCCAACCATTTTCTGAAATCATTAACCTTTGTTTGGGAAAAGGAATTTTTCCTGCAATACTTCAAACTGCTAAGTGTGCATCTTGTACAAAAAGGGAGATAAGAATAATTAGCAAACTATAGACCCATCTCAATTTTGCCAGTATTCTCTAAAATAATAGAAAAAATTCTTCACTCCCAGCTGGCAGAATTCATTAACAAACATAATATGTTATGTGACGCACAATACGGTTTCAGGAAACATAGATCGACTGAGCTTGCCCTCCTTGATCAGAAAGAGTTCATTCTAAATAGCATAGAATGTAAACAACTAGTACTCGGTGTCTTTATCGATTTCAGTAAGGCCTTCGACTCTCTGAATAGACTATTACTTTTACGTAAGCTGGATTTATACGGTGTACGAGGTGTTGCTTTAGACTTGCTCGACTCATATCTAAGCGAAAGGAAACAATACGTGTGCATAAACAATTTTTCTTCGGTGACTAAACCAAATTCTCTTGGAGTGCCTCAGGGCAGTATTTTAGGTCCATTCCTGTTTAATTTGTATATAAATGATATTGTAAACATAGACCCTTCAGCAAAATTCGTTATTTATGCGGACGATACAAGCGTATTTTTTGCACATAACGATACTGACCAGTTGATTCAAGAAGGAAATAATATATTAGAGAAGATATATAAGTGGGCATGTTCCAATGGACTATTAATAAATGCGGAAAAAACCAAAGCGGTTATATTTCGAGCAAAAGGCAAGCAGGTACAAGTAAGTTCTCCGCTCTATCTTAATAACAGTCTGATTGAAATAGTTGACAATGTCAAAACATTAGGTATCGTATTTTCAAACAACATGCTATGGGATGCACAAGTAGAGCAGGTGGCAACAAAAACGGCACGTGTACTTGGTATAATTTATCGCAACAATTATCTACTTCCATTAAAAACAATACTTATTATTTATCATTCCTTATTTATGTCCTATGTAAACTATTGCTTTATAGTATGGGGTGACACAACACAAACAAATATTGAGAAGCTTACTAGACTTCAAACTAGATTTCTGAAAATTATTGCTAAGAAAGAACCATATCAATCAGTTATGTACATGCAACAAAAATATAAACTAATCAGTTTTCAAAATCTTTACAGTTACAACATTTGTAGGACTATAAAAAAAGAGCTGAAGCAAAAAACTGTACTATCTGACTTAGCCAACCTGCAACCTTCGGAAAATAAATACGATACCCGTAAGCATAACCTCTGGTTAATACCACGATCACGCACAAAGTATGGTGACCAAATGGTACGCAGTGTTATTCCCAGAATGTTGAATTATTTAAGCAGCAATGACGTAAATATAGAAACCATGACCACAAAAAATATTGCATCTCTGTTCTTATAAATTGTATTATGATGAAGTCTACCCTTTTGTATCCGTTTGACCTCTTATGTATTTTTCAACACATGTATACACAGCCTCTTCAAGCTACTGATGTTTTGTTCTTCTATTTGTAGGAACTGTTGTATCCTGTTTACGTTCAGATTATGTAATTATTTTATTCCCAATAGCATGGGAATTTCTGTACATTATGCTTTTGTTCTCATTTGTATGCCACTGCTTGTGACCCATTTATTTTTAGGTAGCGGGAGCTAGTCAAGCTGTTTTAGTGCAGCTTTTACTCCCGCCATCCTTCATGTTGTACCAGACATGAAAATAAAGATTCAATTCAATTCAATTCAATTACTTCAAATAAAATCCCTTATACTTTCCCTGGCATTATTGTGTGTTCTCAATTTCCAAGGTCATTAGAAGACGAAGAAAGTGTGCACAGGTATTTACAATGCACTAGAAGGTGGGGACCAATAATCATCACAATAGTTTTGTTAGCTCTGCATAACCTAACCTTGAGCCTAAACAACTCTGCTGTTAAAAGAAGGCCATAAGAAAGGCCCCTCTGTTATGTCAAGAGAGTAGGTAGGCGGTATAGGTGATAGTTTATAACAATTAATTGTGACATTTGGAAGTCAAGAGTGAATGTAGCATTTATTCGCTGAACACTCAGATAAACTAGAAGAAAGAAAAAAATAAAAGTTTCTGGAGAACACCAGATTTCAGATGACATTCTTTACACCCATTTGTATTTTCTCTCTCTCTCTTCTGGTTTAACTTTCAGTACATATTTGTTCTGTGAATAAATGCGAGTTGCTGTCTGTCCTCATCTGCATTTTACTCTATTCTGTCTGCAAGGTACTATTCAATGAAATTTTAAACATTATTAGCAGATTAGGATCTGAATTCAGTAGTAATATACGTAATTTCATTCTGTCACAGCACAACACAATTACTGAGGTACCAGAAGGATCACTCCACATGTTTCACAGTAAAGTAATTTATGACCTGGGACTCTTTCCACACAATTACTGACAATGTATGTTTAGGACAATAGCGATACGTGGCATGACACACAGTTTTATGCAAAACTGCATTCGCCAAGCAAAAGCCACGCAACGCACCCTTGGCAGAAGCGTTGGCAGCTGTGGAAGCCCGGCTCTGTCGTACCATGCGGCCCCTCTTGTCCAGCACCAGCTTGTCGGGCCTCACAAACACTCCATACTTGGGCTTGCACTCAAAGTATCGCACGCCTCCCACAGTGCCGTCATTGCGTCCTGCGTCGAGCAAGAGAAAAGATGGCGAAATGCGGGTCTGCTACCAACGTTCGACAAGGTTTAATGACAAGGGCCGCTGAAGCACACCCCTTAGGTGAACTTTTTTTCTTTATGAGAGGTTGTAGTAGACTTGGGGTGAAAAAGAGCCCCTAAGTCACCAGAATTTGATCAAGAAAAAGTAAAGTGTGCGTTTCCAAACAAGGCTGAAGTTTTTTGGCTACTAAGAAGCTTAGTTTCTGGAAAATCCACATGAACTTACTTGCGGCTTCATGCTACGAATGAATGGCTGCCGATTTCCCTTTCTTACTTATTCTGCCACCCTGTAGAATTCTACAGAACTCATTTGCAGAATTTGATACTTTAAATCTACAAATTTACCTTACTTCCACTAGTCGGTCACGAAATAACAGCATCCGAGTACATGTTTGATCAGAGTGAACAAAATACTATCTTTCGGGCAGGCAAGCATGGTATCAAGTGACATAAACACTATGTGATACTTGTGAGCTGACTGGTGGGAAATTAAGTAAGCACACAGAAGAAGAAGACCCACATCACTTGGCATTGCTTTAGCACACGCTAATAGCAAACATTGCAGACATTGCACCTCCACTTCACATTCCTTTTTGCCTTCGCACCACAAGTGTGAAAAAGAAAACACAGACAAGTCTTTCTGTGCCTTTCGCGTCATGGACAGGGCCACCCATATGCTCTTTTCTTCCAGCACATAGCTTCGCCCTGTAAATGTAGTCCGGAAGACTCAACAAGGTGGACAGCCGTACCTGTTGGAGTGTCCAACTCCACACCAACCCAGAGACCGGGCGAAAACTGCGTTGGCCCCAGAAAGGAGACCACGCCCGTCTTGTTGTACGGGCTGATCATGACGCTCTCGCCCAGCACCAGCCATGCGGGAGCCGTCCAGTCGGCCGTCGAGGATGCGTCTGTGTCGAGGGAAAGTTAAGAGAGGCGTATGGGAAGTGGGCTACACCGGTGGCTTTTTCTCCTAAAGAAAAATAAAACTCATTTGTGACACGTGCGGTACGAAAAATGCAGGAAATTACAAAAACGGATGCTCGAGTGACTGGACACTACGTTTACACCACATACTGTATTTCCTTGCATATAAGCCGTGCAAAATATACAGAAAATTCGGAACTAATGCTGGAGCGTAGATTATGCCAAAACTTTGGGGCAAGAATCAGCTTCGCCAAAAATGTTTTGCGGTATGCAAGGAAGACGGCATTATGGCAATAAGAGGCGATTTTTTCAAAATTTTTTGCCTTTTATAAGGTTTGTAGCTGGTGATACCAGATATATAGAGGGGTGGGTTATATGCGAGAAATTACGACAGAGATGCATGCATATCAGTGCCCACACAAGCGAACATGCATATTCATTCGATTATTTGTTTGTTTGTTTCCATCTTGACACGATTTGTTGGACATAAATGAGACAAACTGAACCAGTCAATGCGACAACATATACCACATAAATGTTTCATTACATTTTGCGGTGATTTCTGTTGATTGTGCAGTGGTGATAGTGCAGCGATTTTGCAGCGCTTACCTAGTGCATCGTCACTGGCTGTGCTGGCAGAGAGGTTCTCATCGGATGAAGACGAAGAGGCATTGCCGATGCCATCCGCTGGCGAGCTGGACCGTGGCAGGTTGAGCTCAGGCACTGAACTGGACATGTCTATGCTAGCTGGAGTGCTCGTGGCTGGGTAGGACTGTCTGTGCTCGGGCTGGGCCGAAGCGTGTTGGGACCTTCGCTGCACTACTTGAGTCTGCAACGACGCAGTGTCAGTTGGTACAGTCAGCAGAGCTCATTAGCGTAAGCAGTGTGGGGTCTCGAGGTAGCCACTATCGGAACAGGTGGGCACAGTACAGGTCGTTGTATAATGAAGATGCGGGCATTTGTCAACAGGTATTACATGACACCAAGCTCGCCAGCTGAATCTCAGAAACAGGAATCTAAGGCTCATCAATGTGCCTTAGATTGTTAACTGCCAAATAATGGCTAATTAACATCAGTTAATTAACATTTGTTTTAATTATTCAACATTAATTTGCCTAACAACTGTTAGGCAATGACTGCTTCGCCATAGAAGGAATCCCAACCAAGCAGTCAGTTCTCAGTGCTGCTATGAGTCAGTTTCTTGCATATATCGGAGACAGAAAAATTACGCAAAGTCGGCTAGTCTAGATGCATTCAATGCTTGCCCATTAGTTACCCTCCCCACCCAAAAGAAAAAAAAAAACACCCATTAGAAAAAAACACCTATGGAGCACCACTAGCTTCAGGCTAGTGATGCTGAACCTGAAGGAAGTGCAGGTCCTTCTTCGTTTGAATTTATTTTTCTTTCTTTCCTTCTGTTTCATTCTTTTGCACTCTTCTATTTCTTTCTGTATACTTTGTTGCTGTTTTTAAATGCTTTTAGTTCTCTCTATATTTATTTATTTCGGTTTCTGGCTCTCTTTATCGTGTTTCCTTTCTTTCACCTGTCACAGCGGTCTAGTGGTCGTTGCGCTCAACTGCAGACCCCCGGATCGTGAGATCAAACCCCGGCTGCAGTGGCCTCATTTTAAATGGAGGTGGAAACGCTCCAGGTGCATGTACTCGAAATGTAAGCGCACGATAAAAAACCCCAGGAGGTCGAAATTTCCGGAGCCATTCACAATGACGTCTCTCACAATCAAATCAAGAATCTGAGATGTTAAAGCCAATCAATTATGATCATTTCTTCTCTTTCTTCCTTCCTTTCCATGAGTTTTACTCTCCCCCTCCTTCTCGTTATCCTCACACTCCACCCTTGCCTTGACATCCCTTTCCCACCCTCTTGGTACACTATGCTATAGACAGCTATGCTATACTCTACTGGTGTGCCAGGATAGCCAACACTGCTCCCCTTCGGTTTGTGGGCACGCCGTTTCGAGTCCTGCCTCAAAAGAAAAACATATTTTATCAAGAATTCCTGTCCTTTTTTTTTTCTTCATCTCTTTCAATCTCTTCTTTCTCTCTCTGTTCTCTTTCTCTCTCATCGAAATTATTCCATCCCATGCCAGACGAATTGGCACACATGCTCTGGGAGCGAAGCACGTGAATAAGAGTTGAAAAGTAGGCTAGTTCACATAGATTCGTACTGAAATATAGGCAGCGCAAACCAATGAGACACAGAAAGTAGATGCAATGAGACACAGAAAATTGTCTGTGCGCTTGTCTGTGTCTTCTTTCTGTGTCCTGTTAGTTTGCGCTGTGAATATTTCGACATGAAGAATAGCACAAAGCGCATGCCGGTTTACAATTATGAGGGTTCTCTGTACTCGAATTACGACGAATGGCTGCTATAATATACTGCACTATTAAAAAAAACACTGCACACGAAACTGATGCTCACCAGGCCAATTACGGTAGCGTCCGGGGACAAACTCTGCGTTTCAGAGGTGGTGGAAGGTGGCAGGTTTCTGCTTCCTTGAACTGTAGGTGCAACAGGCAGCTTCTCCTCTGTGATTGTACTTTTAATGTCTTGGACGTGGCAAATTTTTTCCCCTGCTTTGTCGTTATTGCCTAAATGGTTCTGGTCGGCTCCTTCGTGGCCTTGGGCTCTTTCCACAGCTACATCCGATTTTGCTTGTGGCTTGTCACAACTGGTGGTAACAAACGAGAGCGTGTGAATGACATTCAGAATACTATGTGAATGACATTTAGTGACACACAGACACAAAACTTGTGGTTTATCAATAAAGGCAAAATCCTGCTCCCACTGACATTTTTTGCTAATATGCTCAAAACCTGGTGAATCCATTTTCAAACAGGGAGCCTCGATATCGGACTTATGATGTCATTACATGCCAAATTACAGTAGATGCTTAGTGAACTGAAATCTCTTAAATGAAGCTGCTGCTTAAATGGAAGAACTTCCTCTAGCATGATTAGCTTTTCACTTGAATTCTTCAGTCATGTTTATCTCGCAGTAAACGAAACTCCTGTTAAACTCCTTATTTCTAATTTATATTAATGACCTCCCCTGCCACATTAAATCCAGAATTCATTTATTTGCTGATGATTGCATTATTTTTCGTGAGGTAAATAACATAATTGATTCGTGTACTCTTCAATCAGACCTTAACACTGTTGATAACTGGTGCTGTACATGGTTAATGGAATTGAACATAAACAAATGTAAAGTCATGCGCGTGTCCCGCAGTGTTTGCAGTCAATTTACTTACTACTTAAACGACATACCTCTTGAATCTACTAACTCGTACAAGTACTTAGGCGTCCACATAACATCCAATCTCTCTTGGGCAATGCACGTCGAACAAATAATCAACAAAGCTAACCGTACGCTTGGGTACCTACGCCGTAATTTTTCCAAAGCTCCATCTTCATTAAAATTAGCCCTGTACAAAACATTAATACGACCTAAACTAGAATATGCCTCTTCGATTTGGGATCCCAGCCACATTAATTTAATTACATCGCTTGAGCTAGTTCAGAATAATTCCACACGCTTCGTATTATCGAACTACAATCGCACTGCCAGTATATCTGCAATGAAAAATAATCTGTCCCTGCCTACTCTGTCACTTCGAAGAAAAGTTTCCCGCCTATCAACTTTTCATAAATTGTATCACCACCCCATCTTGCGCGACGAACTTATTTTGCAACCCCAGTATTTTTCCAACCGTGTCAATCACCGTCACAAGGTTGGAATTATCACCTATCGTACTAACACAGCTGCGCAGTCGTTCCTGCCTCGTTCTTCTCGCGAGTGGAACCAGCTTCCCCCTGAAATTGTTGCTATTAATGACAACCATCTTTTTCGTGATACCGTAGCTAACATTGTATATGCAGCACCTATTTAATGTATTTTTGTTTGTATGCTGACTTTTGCTTATATTCGTATTAACGCTGTATTTTTCCCTCCCCACCATGTACCACGTGTTATTCAATGTAATCCACTCCCCTCTGTAATGCCATTTGGCCCTGAAAGTATTATAAATAAATAAATAAATAAATAAATGGAACACAATTTCCTGGTCCCTTAAGGTTCCGTTTTGAGTCTACTGTATCTGCATTTCAACTCATAAGAAGGTGTCTGTGTTCTCCTGACTTCTCTCATATGTCCATGTTTGTGTGCCTTCCATCGTTTATCATAGAAATCTCAATAATTTTCGAAGGGCTTCCATGCAATAGAAGTCACTTTACACTTCAGAAAACCTTATTTCAATTAGTTGCTGATTAAGTGCTAAATTAGCTGAGTCATTTTCCAACTACCGTAATTTTCCTTTAATAGGCTTTGATGGTCTGTCTAGCTAAAGCAGCTTAGTCACCCTAAAATGAGGCAATCTGAAATTCAATAGCTGCCCACTGGATCATCAGATGCTAAATCAGCTGAGTCACTTTCATCAGTGGTACCCTTAATCTCCTTTATGTTTGGCAGACTTTCTCACAGTAGTAGGAAGCCTATGCCATACCATAGAATATGGAATACTATTTTGTGTAGGCTGTTCCTGATTAGCCATTTCGAACAATCTCAGGGCCCCCCACATGGGCAGCGGCACTCATGCAAAGCAGTACACATGAAAAGAACTGAATATTGTATTCCGTATTCCGTGGTATGGAGCAGGCTTGTAGTTGAGCCACTCTCTATTTTAGCAAATCTTATCTCTATTATCTATACCAGTGGTTCTCAAATGGGGAAGGGGGGGGGGGGTCCGCCTGCAAAGCTATTTTTATGATCCGCGAAACCCACCCCCACATTTTTCTTTAAGCGTGACCGTGCCACGCATTGATTAACTGTCCAAAATGAAGAGATGTGGCACGTTTGTTTGATGTTTTTGGTGGCAATGAAGGGCACCTGCTTCACGATCCAGTTGTGTTAATTTACCTACGTACCCACCCCCTTCCCGACCCTCTGCAGCAAGGGTCCCCCATCACTTCAGCCAGTCCACAAGGGGCCTCCAACACATCCATGGCTGAGAGCCACAGATGTATACAGTGGAGTCATTACACATGAAATTAGCCGATTCATCCAGTCTAAAATGACTTGATGCTTCCAGCGGAATTTACCTCATGTTTGACTGGCTGTCGGCAGGAGCTGCAGGCCTCAGATCCACCAGGTCAGGGGTACCAGCATCTTCGTTTCCCCCGACACTCCGGAGCGACCCAGAGTCCTCGCTAGAAAGTGGTGTCGAGGACAAGGCCTGTGACCCATAACCACTGGACACCATGCTCGGTGGAGTGGCCATCTTGCCCTTAAAACGAAAATGAATGTGTTTTTTTTTTTAAGTCACAGAATGCTCGCATATTTACTTGCCGTTGCTTCAAGCTTTGACAATGCATTCATTTAAGCAAAAACATAAGGAATACTTAACTAAAGGTTAATTACGGGAACACATTTTCTTAGTAGTAAACTTAATCTATTTCAGAAGACTCTCAATGAACAGAAATCGCTTAAATGAAGCTGCTGCTTAAAACGAACTACCCATAAATATGGTTAGTCTCGTATTTGGTTACCGCACGCCATTAAATATGTCAGTAAGCGAAACTCCCTTTGAATGAAACATATCTTCCCAGTCCCTACACATCGCGTTTAACGAGTTTCTAGTGCGTTTGAATCTAGAGCCCGTGCTTTCAACGGTTACGAGGATCAGTTTTCCTTGAAATGCACCAAATGTCTTATGGAAACGCAAAAACAGAACCCCAATGATCAAGTTAGTGTTCAGACATTTCACCCGAAAAGCCTCCCTTTGAAACGATCAGACGTTTTCCGTACCACGAGGTCAGCGATGCAGTCACTCGTGATGGAGTGAGTCATGGCGGCGACGGGTTTTGGCTGCCGATCGTCGCTGCCCTCTGACTTGACCTCCTCATCCTTGCCGGCCGCCCAGTAGGACTTGAACTCCGTGAACTCCTCCCCTTGGTCCTTGTCCTTGGACTCCGGCACCTGACCACTCTCTTCTTCCGCCGCTTTCTCGGCCATATCTGGCATGGGAGACTTGGTGGCTTGCTCGATCCTGACCTCCGGGGCGGTTGTGTCCATCGCCGCAGCCTCCACAATTGTCCTGTGATGCGCTGTCGCCGTCGGCCTCTCCTCGTCTTCAGACTGTGCAAAGAAGAATCGAACACCGTCGAGTCGTGAAACATAGCAAGGCAGCTTCTGAACTTGGTTGAAATTTTCATGCAGGTTGTTGATGTCAGAAAAGTAGACGAATAAGATGGAATGTACTGTGAACACTTTCAAAGATGATTTTTTACAGTATAGCTGACATGGGGAGAAGAGAGACGGACGACACGAGTGCTGTACGGTTCAATAAAAAATGCTGCTGGTCGAGTTGGTTTAAGGATGGTAGTGTGCAAACTGCGCAAGGACACAAAAGATAAACATGATGGGCGGACCACTTGGCAATGCAACAGTAAAGAAACAACATAAGAGCGCACTTAAACGGTCAAAATATTAACATGAACTAATTGGTTCATCTTAATGTATACATGTGGCGCAAAAAGAAGAAAATAAAAAGACGTGTTAGATTACAGATGAAGGTTAGCTTCACTTTTTGAATGTTTGTTAGTTTTGTTCCAGACAGTATATTTACGTATTACGTTTTATATTATGTCGCTTTTACACACAGTGACACACGCTCTTCCTTGTCCTTATCCTTTTCTGTGCCGTTCAAGTATTCGTTAGAGCTTCCCCATAGCTCGTTAAGAGTTTCCGTTAAAACACTCAATGTGATTGTTCAAGTGCGATCAGCCACAATGACTCTCACCTGTTCATCGTCGTCTTCCAGCAACAAGGGTTGCGCCTCCCTATGCTGAGTCTGCTCCTCAATGACCGTACGCATGGGCTTCACAAACTTGGTTGGCTGCGGGCTCAGGACAGCCAAGGAGGAGGCTGGAAATGTTGCGAGTCGTCGAAAGTTTCAAATTGTCGCCAGTCGCGTTTCCCTGACTGCCGGTACAACTGCCGCTTGGGCAGCGGAAGCCACAAAGCCAGTTAAGCGATGGAAAGCAGCCCCCACTTCAGTTAATCTGATGTCCGGATAAAGCACTGCATTTATATATTTCCAATAATGCCATTTCTAACACGTCCTGATGATCGGGGTGGTGATCACTGCAAGTTGGTTGTCCCCAGTGAACTCAAGTTAGCGCCGAGAGACACAGACATTTATGAAGATGTGCAGAACACTAGGGATGTGCGTGCTGTGTGCACCTTCATGGGTCTGTGTCTGTCAGTGCTAAGACAAGTTCACATTGATTGTTGCTAATGAGAAGAGAAAGCTTCACTCTTGCTGAGTCATGACAGTTCGACTGCTGCCCTGCGAGTCACAGAATTTAATCCTGGTCGCGGTGGCCACATTTTCAATGAAGACAAAAATGCTTGAGGCGCCCGTACTTGGATTTAGGCTCGTTAAAGAACCCCAGGTGGTCAAAATTTTTGAAGCCCTCTACTACAGCACTCCTCATAATCATGAAGTTGTTTTTGGGACGTTAAACTATAAAAGTAAAATAATAATATTAATAATTGTTAGGGTTTAACATCCCAAAACCACCATAGGATTATGAAAGATGGCGCAGTGAAGGGCTTTGAAAATTTCACCCACCTGGTGTTATTTAATGTGCATCTAAATCTGAGTACCCAAACCCCAAGCAAGGACTTGATCCCACGACCTGCGGGTCAGCAGCAAAGTTCCTTAGCCGCTAGACCATCATGGCAGGCAATTATAAAGGTATGTGACAGTGACAACTGTAACAACGCATATTACTACATTGCACATGCTTTTCCAGCATTCAAACAAAGTTTTGAATATTTAAATGCATATATTGTTAATCTTTTCTACACATAATGGTGAAGATCTAGAGAGTTTTGTAACAGTGGTTAGCCCTCATAAGACGATCGCTCGGGAAAAACAGGCGATATACACTCATCAATATTTAGAGTTTCGGTGCTAGTGGCTTCCGCTGCACTGCTAATATAAAGGGTGGCCTCCACTTAAAATTTCACTTTAAGGAAGGGCAACAATTCAACTGTTCACTACACACAGGGTGACTACAACTAACTATAAAAGTTCAGTAATATGAAAGCATTTTTAATTTGCATAACTATATGATAAAGTAAGTAATCAGAGCAGTTTAAATCTCATTCAATGTAAACATACAGTCTGCGACGGGTCTCGTACCAAGCAAAACTATCATTAATATGTTTTAACTTTCCAGAGTAAAGCCCTAGGCCTGTCACAAAACAAAGATAAGACAGTTGCGAAATGCTTACGCCTTGCTAGTCAAAGGACGCAACACCGCATAAGACGTCCCTTTCGCCACAGGCCTCAGGAAACGATTGGCTTATTGATATGCCTATGTATTGAAGATTTTATATCTCAAAGGACTTAGCATAAGCTTCATGTGTTTAACTAATTACATATTGTCAACAACTATTACACAGATGGATTACATGAAGCTGCTTGATTGGTTAAATTTCTGTCTTTAAGTGGAGGCCACAAAAAATGTGCACACACAGTAGTAAGACACTTTGAAAATGTATAAATAACATGCACAAAAAATAAGAATCAAGCTCTGAGCAAGGTAATGAGTAAAACAAGTACCACACAGAAAAAGCAAAAGAAGCAGATAACTTAAGAGCAGACCCACACCATCCAGCATGCATGCTGAAATTGCGTCGCTGGTCTGAAGACTTCCACAGTCTATGGGAAGACTTTCTGTAAGGAAGCCACTGAAATGGCTTGAATTTATACTTGCAGCTATGGATCTTATACTACTTCAATTTTCATCAATTCGAACAACACTGGGTTGAAATAATTCAGCAAGTAGAATGGGCAGTGATTCAAACGTTTCAGCTGATAGCAATATTCAATGCGAAATTCCTTTGCCTAGTCATGAAACACTCAGAAAATCTTCAGACCAACATGGTATAAAAGTGGAAAGCATCGAATTCGTTCAGAATGAAGGCAGAAACTACAACGCTGGTGTGAAGACTGTTATATGGTATTCGGAAGACTCGAGCCATCTGAAAGTCTTTATGAACACTTTAGAAAAACATCAATCGATAGATCCTAAATCATGTCTAATAAACAAATACACTTACACGACTACAAATGTTATAAAATATGGTAAAGCAAATATTGAATTAATACCTGAGACTGCAGACCAGCGTTGTACACGAGCAAAGAACACTGAAACCAAAGTGAAAGAAAGAATGACACGAAAATTACAGTAAAGCAAACGAAAACGTGTGTAGCAGGTTCTCAGGCCACCATGAAACATACAGGATCGAAACGTTCCCAGCCAAACGAAACAAAGAATAAAAGTGGGGGCAGTCGTCTTGAGCAAAGCAAAACAGATGTGAAATAATAAAGAAATACATCAACCGAATGATAAAGAATTCGGCATCAGGCAGGCTTCCGTGGAATAAGAAAGAAAATGTGGAATCCGGTTTCATTGGAAAGACGTACTTTTGGCACCCGCCGCCTGCCGCAAGCTCAAGTTTAGATTGAAGTTTAGGTTGAGGAATGTGGGTCGTGCTGTAATGAGGGAGCATGGTTCAAGGGAAGAAGAAAAACATTTTAATTGTTTTGTTTACCGTATTCAAGACCTAAGACATTAAACCTACAAATGAGATTTTACTTTGCAATAGCACTTATGGCATGTTTAGTATATAAAGCAACTCTAACGATTCTTTATAGAAAACCAGTAATACAATATGAAAATAGCGAAATTCAATTCTAAGGAGTATTATAAGACTTCTATACTGCAAGTGACAATGTATTGAAGCGTTATACTCAAAAAATAGAATTTTAAACAGTTTTCCATTGCAGATTTTTTATGCAGAACTTTTCTGGACTTTAGAAAATAGTATACATGAAATTAATGGGAGACTATTGTCCCAGGCCAATTCCTCACAAATTAACACTGCACACAGATTTCCCTTAGACGCAATTGCTGGTGTAGCTTGAATTAAAAGTGGCTGAACTTAAAAGAAACACTTCGCTTCTGGTTGGGAGCGAGTATTTCATACTCAGGCCATCCAATCTTTTAACTTAAATGTGGCCTATAATAGCCAATGCAATGGACTACATAAGGTCTCAATCCCACAATGAAAAGGAAATATGGATATCATTGTTCTACAAGTAGTGTCTACCTTTACTTCCAAATATGCAACAAGTTTCGTATGATTCAGTTATGGAGGGATAAAACAGGAACGTTCCTACGTGTTCATGCCATAACCTGTCGACGGGTGGCCATTTAAGTGGTGTTACAACCTAAGATATTTTAAGACAAGTTTATTCTATCACCTAAGCAATCCAATTTCACCAGAGAACTGCTACGAAGACATTGATGCAAAGCTTGCACGCACTATTGCACAGAAAGCTCGCGACAATACATGCTAGAATAGAATTTTAGGAGTCACATCAAAGAAGCCCATGTTAGTATATGCACGTTAGCAGCATGGCGAGACATGCCTTGAAGGGAGTTCACTCTATCCAATAGTCTTAATACACACAAGACCAAGCAAGTGATTTATCATTGTAGATGTACAATGGGAATGGGAACACATAAAGCTGTTCAGATGAGTGAATTTGTCCTTGAACCGGTTAGTGTTCAATTATCGCTAGAAAAGCTAGAGCACATTGAACAACAACAGTGATGATACGCTTTGTGCCATTGCCCGAGTCCCTCGCCTCATTTGATTTTTATAGCAGTAAACGTATCCTTCATTGCACAGAAAAGGCTCAACTAAAAGACTCGTGCTAAAGCTTTAAAGGCAGTGAAAAGGGATTAGACTAGCTATACTCCGTTTCACGATTTGTTGGCAGGACTGTGAAAGGTACGGGCACTCTCAGCCAATCATGACAGATGCACTTCGTAAGCATGTTCCTATGCGCATGTCACGTACGTTAATTCGACAGGTGGCCCCATCTGCGATGAAGTAGCCATACTATACTAATTATCTTCAATTTTCGTAGCAAATGGTGCTCGGCACTTTTTTCATGTGTTTTGCTTATTTTTGGACGGGACGACCAGCACTGCAATGAAGCTGGCCCGGCCTTTTCTATTTATTATTATCGTCGCTGGTTCTTATATGAGTTCCTGTCATTTTTGAGTTTTTAGGTTGTTTACGCAGCTTGTATAAGATTATTTACTTCAGTCACTGTATCAATTAACAAACAAATGATTGAATCTATTAATCGGAAGCTTTATTTTCACTTCTCAGTGGTCACTTGCTTGATTCCTTGCCACAGCAGAGTATCAACGTCTTGAAGCTTAAACCTCTTGTTTGCTGCAACTATGACGCCCTTTATGTCACTCCAAACAAGCTCTGTGGGGCTCAGCTGGCAGTGGTAGAGGGGGGAGGTGCACAACGAGATGGCCAGTAGCCCCAGCAAGGCAGTACACACAGTATCGGTCCCTGCTTGTTTGCACGTTGTCGACAAGCTTCATGAGCTCCACCATTACCATGACGCTGCTCCACACAGCACCTTTTTTTTGGAAAGCCAGGCCTGTATGCCCTTTTTCAGGCCTCTTTTATCATCGCAGTGCCGCCACTTGGCGCAGGTACCTGTGGCGACTCAAGACAATGAGCGTCGCTTCTATGAGAAAGGCATTCACAGAGCGTTTCTTGTAATTGAAACCAAACTTTACCAGCATCCTCTGAATCGTCGTCATGGACATGGTCGATAACATCTCATCTTCCTTGAAACGCTGCTCCAGCTTGGCGATAGTTGAAATTCAGCCTTTCTCAAAAAAGCCATGCACCACTGTTAGCAAGACACTGAGGTCAAAATTGTCCAGCATTTTTCGTCCAATCAGGGCCTTCCCCACAAGCAACGCTTCTTTGGTGGTAGGGCTTTGCCGACGCCCACCGTGTCTGTTTTCCACCAATACAGCATTCGCTCGCTCACCTGTCTCAGTTTTGCGGTCCTCTTGATAAGTGCATGCGCACTTGAACTGTCGGTGCATTCCACGCGAAGCCGTTCACGAATGTCCGAAGCTATCTGCTTCGTTAGCGACAGAAAACCACACATTCATAGGATAACTCACTGATCGCGCAGCCTGAGAGGCACCTTGAACAGACACAACCAACTCGACCGACGCCACGTTTTCGTAAGGTGGTGCATCACCACGTCACAACCAGCCTTCGCAGAGGTGTGTCCATGCAGGCTTTCTCTTTTAATTTCGCTAATAACTGAAACACTCTGCATGCTCTGAAAAACTCAATACTAGCAACATTTTCCATTTCTGTGAGTGCAGTTCGCAAAATAGAAACTGGGCTGCTCAAACATTTTAGGGACTGTGCTGTGCTCCTACAGTCATGATTGGACGACAAAATGTGTGGCAGCTTGGGCTAGTTGGTATGGCATGACGATAGTTATAGCGCGAGAACAAAACGACGACACAGAGTCATTCTTGTCTCTGTGTCGTCGTTTTGTTCTCGCGCTATAACTATCGTCATGGACGACAAAGCTCTACCTTTGGCTGTACTGCCAAGAGCTTGTGAAACGCAGTATAGACTAAACGAGACTAGGCAATTTTCTGTCTACATTAAAGTGTTTGAGTTTCACTAAAGAGAACGAACGTAGATCAATGCAGGATGATGAAGTGCTACTTTTAAATTCCGCTTTATTTAGTTTCTTTATTTAAAAGTCCTGAGCCGAAAAGTTAAAACTAAGCTCATGTACATTAGTGCCATGTCAATCTTAATTTCTCAGTTTCTCGAGTGATTTTTTCAAAAGCCCTAGTGGCAGCTAGCAACCATTGAGTTTCCTAATAAGAGGGAAATCTGGTTATAGTGTCCATACGTACCTGCCAGTAGCCCGATCGAAGGTCTATCAAAGAAGTGAACTCCACCCCTTGCTAAGAGTCTAGCGCGTCCATTCTTTTATCCGAAACAAACGCCAAAACACAACAATAAACAAAGCGACAAGTGCGCTCAAAGTTGCAAGCCCGAAGATTAGGCGAATCCGTGTACTACCCATCATTCCCATTGTGGCTGAGAAATCACAGCACCAGAGTTCCCTCTAGTATACGGTGTACGAAACCTTGAGGCTAGAAATGAATTTGTAAGACTAATGATGAGATGGGCAGTGTGAGTCAACTGGTGCAACACACCATGCGTGACACAAAGCACCGCTATCACGTCGACTTCAGTCGAAACACAAGTGCATTTTGCCAGGCCCTGCACTACAACTGCTGTCTTTGTGCATCACGCGCCACTTGTGTCACAATTGCGAGGAAAGTGAGCAGACAGACAACATGCCACTTACGTCGATTACAAAGCTTTTGTGCATATTTTAGTGCCAGAAATTTGAAATTGAGAAAACGAACAAGAGTGTGAGCAACAGTTTTTCTATTTTTGATGTCATGATGCTGCACTACATCGAATGCGGATGTTAATTAAAACATTGATAACTGAAGTAACAGCATCACCTGAATGCTTGTCTGCTTTGCTGTGACATTATGACATTACACTGCATTTAAACATTTGCCTTAAAGTCCTAAGTGAGTTGGCTTCACACCGTAATGAGACCAGCAAGCTGAAACTAATACCCTAAACCTGTCCATATAAATTTTGGTGCGTCCTCTATGATTTAGTGAGCTTGGAGGCTATGCGAAAATATTTACATATTGCGCAATGCACAATCTTTCGAGCCTCTATCAGCATGGAGCTGAAAAGATAGTGCAGACGTCAGTTATGCCTCCTCCAAATAGTGCTAAATGGAAAAATCATAGAATTTGAAAGGTCTTTGGAACAGTACCCTTGGTTTAAAGATTGTGCAGCTTTGCATTGTACCAACAATTGTGCTGGAATAGCAATTATAATTGATTCAAGTAATGTAATACGTGCTTAACTGTGTCGCCTCGTTTTCCTGGTCATCATTTTTTTTTAGGCTCGTGAATGTCGTGGTTTCAGGTATTTGCAAAAGAGCCAGTCACAAGTTCGTAAGTATGCCAACTCATCTAATGAAAACTGGTGTTTGATACAATAGCGAGCTTTAGCTTGACCACAAACTTCTTTGCACTTGCAGATTTCTGGGCTATCAGAACTCGACCAGGTGAATACAGCTATATTATTGTGGTAACCAAGAGCATGCTACTTTGCTACATGAGTAAATTTTTGACAGTGGCATTGCGAATATGTCGGCTTTTTGAAACAGTTTTTCAGCAAGAACATTCGTTGTACGCCAAGTGGATTGTATCAGCATTGTGGCCAATCGACGCATCACAAGATGTTCTAGCAGTGTCCAGTAACACCGCACTGCACAACCCTAACGCTATTATTGCTAAAATGCCACACATGCTAGAGCTCTCTGAAGAAATGCGCTGGACGAAACAGAGATATACATCACAGTGGCACTGACCGAGGCTTGAGATTGCAGCACTTTTTCCCTCACTGAGGAACCGGTCGAGACCTTCGCTGAGCGAAGACGATGCCAGATTGATGACGGAGTCCGATCGGTGCGGTGCTGCCTCGTCTGGCCGCAGCGGGGAGCCAGCATCCGAGGTGCGCATGACCTGCGCGATGTTGGGCACGCTAGCTGTCTTGCGCAGCAGCCGTCCTTGGGCTGCCAGCAACTCCTTCACGGCCACTTCCTGGTGGAATGAGAAGCATAGCTTACTTTTAGACTGTGAGCTTAGGACTAGAAAGAGATGGATATTTTTGTGCTGATGGAGACAAATGTGAAGATACTGAAGGGTTCAATGAAAGTTTGTCAGGTCAGACATGGGTTTCCGTGATGTGAATCACGAAGACCGACCAAGAAGAAAGTGTCTGAAGACTTTCTATTCTTGCATGTGTGATTCCTGCATGTTCATCGTTATGGAGTCGGTGCTATGACCACACAGCTATTCAGCTGCGGTGTCCAGTGGCATCTGTGCCCTCCTTCTCACTCACTGAGGAATTCAGGATAGATGCTTGCTTACTAGGTTGCAGGCCCTGGTTAAATTTCTCATAAGAGCTAGATTACCTTCATTTCTTTAGAAAGCCTAGGCAACAGGAACAGACAATTAGCCAGGCCAAAACCTATTGTGGTCACCAAAAACTGCTCCCAATTAACAATAAAAATTAAAAAAAGAATCTGTTGAGAGCAGCAAGAGAAAGAGAGACAAAGAAGAAGGCAAGACGGTTAACCAGATGTTAGCAGCAAAGTCATGTTGAATATTGAATACAATGAACACCTATCATATACGCACCTGACGCAGGCGATCCAGCGTGAGGATGCTCTCGACAGCCGAAACCCCACGTGTGTACTTCTCTATGTAACTTTCGCCGTCGCTCGTTTCGCTGTCCCCACCAGAAGCGGCCATCAGGGCCAGGGATTCCCGACCCTCCAAGTCTTCGAAAGCCTGAACAAGCACGGGAAAAGGAAAAAAAAACATTGATTATTATATACCAGCTAGCCCAACTTTCAGCCTTAACCATGACCTATTATTTTCGATACCAGCTACCCCTATTTTCTGCCTTAACCATGACCTATTATTCTCGATACCAACTAGCTCTATTAACTATGACCTATTAGTCTTGATACCAGCAAGCCCAACCTTCTGCTTTAACCATGACCTATTAGTATCGGTACCAACTAGCCCAACTTCATACCTTAACCACGACCTATTACTCTCGATACCAACTAGCCCAACTTTCCACCTTAATCATGACCTACTATCAATATAGATGAGCCCAACTTCCTGCCTTAATCATGAATTATTAATCTCAATACAAACTAGCCCAACTAACCGCCTTAACCATGACCTACTATTCTCGATACTAACTAGCCCAACTTTCTACCTTAACCATGACTAATTATTCTCAATGCTAATAGCCGAACTTTTCACCTTAACTACGGCCTATGACTCTCGATACCAACTAGCCTGACTTTCCACCTTAACCATGACCTATTATCAATATAGGTGAGCCCAACTTCCTGCCTTAATGATCTCAATACAAACTAGCCTAACTAACCGCCTCAACCATGACCTATTATTCTCGATACTAACTAGTCCAACTTTCTACAGTTAGTTAGTTACGTTGGGTTTTATGGCGCAAAAGCAACAATGGCTATGATGCGCCAGCAACTTTCTACATTAACCATGACCTATTATTCTCAATACTAATAACCCAACTTTTCACCTTAACCATCACCTATTACTCTCGATGCCAACTTGCCCACCTTTCCGATTTAACTATCACCTACTATTTTCGACACCAACTAACTCAACTTTCTGCCTGAACAGGACAGTCACATTCTGCGTCTCATGAGACATATCGCTCTTGTCTTCAACGTGCGTCAACATGCCATCCGTCTTCATTGACTGACACTGGCATGTAGCAGCGCATATGTGTGGTTTCACAGCGAAAGCTGTTATGAGACCATAACAATGGCATTGTTTGGTTTTGCTGTTTTCTTGTCAGTCATTGCCGGCAACTAATTTTCAACACGGATGGGAAAAGAAAGGCGAAACTTAATTTTTTTGCATGTTTTGTAAGTACATAGTGCATGAGTAGCAGCACTTTGCAAGCATTAAGCTGTTTTCCAAGATCAAGTATTTGACGTCTCTATAAGTATATATAGTAGAAGCACCGCACTGTGCATGCCTGGACATTAAGAAAGAAGACAAAAAGCCACAAAGTGTCCTCCGTGCATGCAAATTCTAAGAGAAGGGGTGGGATGTGCTGCAATTTTGAAATATTTATCAATATTTAGCTGTCCCGCTTCATGCTCATCACCACAATTATTCAAAGTATTGCCTTCGAGATTATTCGACCCTACAAATGTTAGCTACAGCTGTTAGCTCCTACTTCGCTTCCAACCAAAAGAAGATATCAGTGCTGTTGTAGCAATTTCTATTTTCCCGCATGCCACTCACTGTCCCCTCGTACAATGATAAACCGACGGCTGTTTCACAGACACGTCGACAAACAGCACCAAATCAAGACTGAATTTCCGAGACTTGCCTTTGGTATGCTGGCAACGATTTCATACGTTACTCCCGATGCGAAGTAGACGTCCTGAAATCAGAAAAGGGAAAACACTTAAAGTAAGGTAAATGCTGTTAAAAAGATCAGTAAAGGACATGGAACAGCTAGACAAAGTGGCACACATTACGGAACATGAAAAGAATTAAGATGTTACTGATATATTCAGTAGTAAATACATTGTTTAGTAAACATATACTACTATTAGGAATGAGATTTCAATGTTCTTAAACAGTGTAGGAACGTTTCGCTGCGCTCACCTGCCTGCTGATCCTCTTGCGTATCTTTTCAGTGAGCGACTGCTTCTTGTACACATTGATGGCAAAGCGCTTCCGCAGAATGAGATCCATCACAGCGGGATGGCTCAGCCTCACAGACACCTTGAGGATGAGGTAGATGCGGTCATTTGGCGATGTCAGGGCGTTCAGGTGCATGGAGTCGTGGATGGACGAGTCCCACGCCGCCACTGCACACACCTGCGCGGGCACCCCCACATACGATGGTGAGCCCGGATCACACCGTGGTGAGATGACGACCTGATCTAATTAATTTTTATTTTCCACCTACAAAACTGATGGAGGGGGCCTAGTACCGAGCCTACACACAAATTTTGAGACAGGGGCAGGCACATCAAGGAATCACTAAAGAATACACGAAACAGCAATACATACACATAAGTATACGTTCACCATGTTATTTTAGCACAACCTGTATTAGCGGCTATCTAAACACAATGCAGTGTGTTACGGTAGACCCTCGGCAAAAAAGAAATCTTTTAAACAGAATTGCAGCTTAATGAAACAACAGCTTTTAATATAGTTAGTGTTGTACTTGAATTCTGTACACATGTCCATCTCTTGGTAAATGAAACATATCTTCCTGGCCCTTTCCGGTTCCATTTAATTAATGAGAGCCTCCTGTGCATGTGTTTTCTTCAGTGTGAGAAACCATCCATACAAGAAATCTTAAGAAACAATCACCGAAAATATAAGGAATAAAAAAAAATGTCCATCTGTTCCAGAAAGAATGCTGCAACACGTTTACCAATCCATTGCAGTTGTAGCATGGTTGTGAAACGGTTTTGCCATAGAAGTATAAATCCTTGACTTCGATCTGAATTAAGCCATCTGAGCGCAATCGAACTGTGACGTACAGTTGCATATATTGAGCTTGAAGTCAAGTGCGCCCAGTTCACATCAGGCTTAATATGCAAAGACATTTGTGAGTTCATCAACTCTTGCATCTATATTTTTTTTTAATGCAAAGTGTTACTCCAATGTAGGAATTTTATACATATCCATTTTATTTCCTTAACTTTACGTTAACCTTAAGTGCGGTGGAGCTGAGCTGTACTCTCCAACTGGCAACACGCCCACTAGTGTATAAAGTCCACCCTGGCGATGTGCAGGAGTGCAGACAAACAAAAAAATGAACAAATACAAAAGGACACGTCACGGAAGCACGACATCAAGACTGTACCTCTTTATCGAAGTGCTTCACAATTGGCAGGTTGAACAGCGGCGACGAGTTGTTCTGCTCCTTGGGCAGGATGGAGTTTGCGCCGGCGACCTGAAGCCCGTTCTCGCCCGAGTTGGGCACGCTCATGTCATCTGCACAGCATCGAATGACGGGTCGTGACATTGCAAGTATTCAAGCACGACATTTCAAGTGGCACCTTTGAAGTAAATTGCCACGATGAAAACTAAACACGAACGAGCAGCGGTGAAGAAGAGCGCCCTTTGAGCTTTATAAATTGCTTGACACTTGAATCTTCTGTGCTTGACTGTGACGCAACTAAACGTTTCGTACTCTCTAGCACCAAACCTACAAACCTGTCAATGAATAAGTCCAGTGCTGAACTTTTGTGACCACGGAGAAAACTAAGCACTTATTGATAATTCTTTTTTGGTGCACTCGTGTTTTACTGCCTGCCAACAGTGCAGAATACTTACCACTCAAGTCTAGGAAGATAACAGGCACATGGTTTTCCATCCCCACTGGAGGTTCCCTGGAAGTCAAAGGGAGACACAAAAGCCACACTGTAAAGCCATGCTCAATTTCAATGATTGCTGGCTTCAAATCAAGCACAACCTTACAAAGAGGTCTGTGGAATTCGGAAAAGACAGTGCTAATGATAGTTTCAAATGATAGTTTGCTATTCGAGTTAACTACACCAGCCCAAAGCATGTCGTTCTGATAGGGAGGCTAGGCCTACTGTACCAGTTTGCGGGAGCGCCAGGAATGTCTGATCCTGGCTGCGGTGCCAAGACTGCGTTCTTTTCTTCAGTCAGGAGCAGCCACTGGTTGATCAAGCTCTTCTCACGGTCAGCGTCTTCATCGGACTTGACTGCAGTGCACGCATTAAAAAACAAGTTCCCTAAATTATTTACACATTAGCCCACCGCCAAACTTCCATATAGCAAGAATGAACTTAATAAATTTTATTACGTAACAAAGTAATTATCATACATTTCTTGCGAAAATTTGGCATGTAACAAATAAGCACTTATAACAGCTGCCACATATAACAAAGGTGTTAGCATGAAGCCTTTCATGGTATCTAAACTAAGATTTCGAAACCAGTCATCTATTCATGACTGTCAGTCAACATTACACTCAGTCAACATTAAAAACAAAACAAAATTCAATTTACTGTGGTTGCATGTGTTCTAAGGCTCTTGGACACACAAAAAGAAAGTGTGCAGCCTCTGCACATACTCACCCGGCTTGTCAGTGATCTTCTTGAGGTGCTCCGCCAAATACTCGGAACGCCGACTCAAAGCATCGCACCACCGTTCTCGCAACACACTGAGGTCATCGTCCTAAAAAAGGAGTAAGGAGCTGTTAGTATGCAGTTATTGGTTATGAGAAAGGCAAGGCGGGTGAGAGAATTCCAGTCCCGATAATGTTGCATCTTACACGAAAATAAGTTTGTTATATCCGAAAATTCCTTATAAAGGTTTATTGTATATCTGTTGCGACTATAGGCTTTAAGGGCTTAGGAGCTCACTCAAACTCACCCACCACAATTTTTTTCAGCCTTCCAACTCACTCACATTCATACTTACCCCTACTGACCCTTATTGGTGCTCACGTTCACACTCACGTCCACTCATATTGATGACTACTCACTCACGTTCATACTCATGACTACTCACAATCACAGTCACTCACTCACGTTGACTCAATCTCTTCAAACTTCCACGTTCTCCTGAACTCCTGCCTCATGTGGACTTCGTGTACTAACAAAACTTCAAACAAATAAAAGAAAGAAAAAAAAAAGATGATGACTGAAAGGTGTTCATGACGGGGAGAGTGACCTGGTATGAGTCGAGGGGCCGCTGGAGGCGCGAGCGGAATGCAGACGGCAGCCCACGCTGACAGAGCCGATGTGCTGGCAGATGAGGGGCAGGGTGCCAGAGCGGACCACGGGGGCCACGCGCACCACCAGGCGGCGCTGCTGGCCCTGGCGGAGTTGGAACACCCCGCCTGTGCCCACATCGCCCCGGGGCACCACCTCCACGGGCGCGTACTCGCCCTGCTCCGTCAGCTCGTGGATCTCCAACCACAGCTCCAGCTTGCGCTTCAACTCCGACCACCTGCACAAGGCCGTTTGAAGCGAGAAAGACAGAGTCAGTGTAAGCATAGATCTTGAATAGCATAATAAAAGTGAAAAAAAAAAGTGAGGAATAAGAAGGAGCCACTAGTGCCATAAGTTAGGTGAACTCACTCATGAGTAGACTCGATAAGACTCAGATCAAGCCATGAGTCCGAGTGAACTTGGCTGAGAAAGTTATTGCTAATTCGGAGTCCAAGTGGGCCCCAAGCGCAAAATATATTAAGGTCAGTTCGAGTAAGCTTAACTTCTTTTGGCTGGCTGACACTCTTCCTTCACTGTCCTGTCTAAAGTTGTCCACTCACAAAACTTCCAGCCTACGTTGCACGTTGTCACAGTTGCAGAATTGACAGAAGAGTCCATAAATGTGCAGTGCGAAAAATGCCGGGCTTGTTGAACGATAGCAGCAACTAACGCAAAAAACAGGCCACTGTGTGCGTCTCCCGCGTTCCGGCACAGCTGGGCAACCAGCAGTGGTGCACTGCCTACACTTCTCTTCAAACTGTCACCGCGGTTGTCACGCGACAGTAGCCGACATCTTGAAGCCGATGGATAGGAGTGTGCGCGGAAGGAGAAAGCGACACTGCGCATGTTTGTTGCTATGGCGACGTGTGTGCAAAGAGGAACAAGTAAAAATTGACCCAGGCCGAGTTTAGGGTCAAAATCATGCACAAGATCGTTGTCTGGGTTTGAAGAGGAAGGACGCAGATGTGTCAAAAAGCCACGCTACATTGCACATAAGCAAAATTGTGGGAAGAGCTGGGTAAGGGCTAGTTGGTTTTATGTTGTTGAAATATGCAGCACCCTACTTATACTTGCACGCACACGAGGACACTCACACACAAAACCGACGAAGAAAAAAGCACAACTGTAGAGTGCCTGTTTTAAGACAGCGCTGCAAATTTCAACGAAGCTGCAGGCATAGTGACGGTGTCGTACGCACCTGTCCACCAGGGAGTGTGAAATGTGGGACTGGGGACCACCTGTGGTCAGGTCCCAGCCGTGGCCAGAGCTAGTGAAGCCTGTGCTCCGGTGGCCCCACACTTCGATAGAAAGGGCACCCTCGGCGCAGTGCTCGACAAACTCCTCCGTCACGGGTACCACATGATCCTGCAAACATGATTCACAAGCATTGAAAGAACCGATTAAAGATACACAAAAGCACAAAATTCTGATCCATGTAATAGGCTTTGTTTTAGACACTGTAGATACAAGCAGCCACTATGCAAACTTTTTTGTTTGGGATACAAGTGGCTGAAGAATGACAGAAGGTGCCCTGATAACAAGCATCAAGAGAATTTAGGAACCTGTTTTCCTTGAAAGAAAGTTCAGCTTAATTAGGAAGATGTTTCCTGAACTAATTACAAACAAAAAAGATTGTCAAACTGTCCAAATTGTAAGTTGAGAGCAATTTCCATAGGGGAATTCTGGTGCCAATATTTATGAGAGCACTGAGCACGATCTTTCAAGCAATGAAGAAATAATTGTCGGTATGTGAAATTTCGTGGATGTCGTGCACTGTATCCTCAAAATCGGTCATTTTCAGTAAAACAATGTGTTACAAATGCAACGGCTTGAATAAATACGGATGTGCACAAGAACATATCACCTTTTTGCACATGAAAAGACATTTATATCTATAACGACTCATAGAGGTCAGCAAATAAATCTACAAGAACACCTGAAGCCCCAGGTATGAAGACCAGATGAATCCAACAATCCCATAGTTATCTGAGAACTCACCCGAATAAGGTTTAACTTGAACACAGCCTGAATTTCTCACTAATATCGGCGTGTAAAATGTGCACTCCATTACACCAAGGTTTAATTGCATGCTGCATTAAGGGTGTGACATTATAGTTGACGTAAACCTGATGTAAACAGTTTACATTCTATGAAGAATGTAATGTTAGCTGACATAAACCTGATTTATACTTGGTGTAAAGGCAAGCCGCCACTTTCGTTTCACGAAATTTCACACAAGACACAGGAAAAGGCCAGGTCACCAACCTGTACGTGATTGAACTTGAAGGCGATGTTCGAGTTGCCGGGAGAGCCCGGCTTGGCGTCTGTGTCCACTACGGGTGCCACTACAACGGCCTCAGTGTGGCCCCAGAACGTGTACTGGCAGAAGACGAAGTTGGACAGGGATGGTGGCAGGCCCACTGCACTCTTGATGGCAACCTGCAAGACAGTCGTTGCAGCCAAAGTTGTCACAACCATGAGTTATCTGCATAACTCCTTCAGATGCCTTCAGAGCACTGTGCTGCTGCGAAATGAAACTTGTGAGATCTTTGAACACTCACTACGTTTACATTTAAAACCACTGCAGTTAAGGCAAAACCAAGTTTACTAAAGTTGGACATTGACATACAAAACTTCAATATACCAAAATCCTCTATATAGTTCCTGAAAGAAACAGAATTTCAGGGCATGTTTTTCTTTGCTACACACAACTTCAATGAAAACGAGCAGACATTGAAGCCAAGGAAGGTACAGGTTACGTTACTTGCAGTCTTAATTTGAACTATTTGGTAGTCATTACGAAATAAATGTGAAGACAATAAAGTATGAAAAGACGACTTGCCGCTGACAGACCTAACCTGCAACCTTCGAATAATGCGACCTACTGGGCTATAGAGGCAGTCGTCCTTCCATACACTCCATTGGGTAATTGCAAGTAAACATACGACGGCTAGCACTGTTTGTAGCTTTGACAGTGAGTGTATAACACTCTTTTTTGCCAGCTGGTGTCACAGAGCAAGCGATCTTTTTACAAGCTGGCAGCTCACCAGTAAGCCCTCACATACTAGTAACCTGAGGGCATCAAGTCTGCTAAAGCAGACCCTTACCAGAGTCTCGGTGGCGTCAGACTTTAGAAAACCATGTACCATCTTTGACATTAACACAAGAAAGAATACAACATTTTTATGCCACTGCAAATGGCATGCAGAGCCATTTAATGCTCTGTGTGCCAAAGACTTGACATTTATATTGCTGAACATTAGGTTAGTCTCCTGAAACCACATCCTTTCCAAACCCCTTCCTGAAAGGCTATTTATTTTTAGGGGGGAGAGAAGTTTTGGAGGGGGAGGGAATGGCAACCCTAAAACCTAACTGTAATAAACTAGCTATGTAGGATATTTACATGCAGAAGTAAAACCCTAGGCTATAGAGTTTCATGTGTAGCTGGCATCTTACCCGGACGGTGACCTGTCTTCCCGAACTGTCATCCGAGATGTCGAGGAGTGATCCCCGAAAACTTCCCTCTAGGTCACCGCTTCGATCAGGCAGCACACCGTCCGTCTTGCTAATTTCAACGTGCACGCGACCCGCAATCTGGATTTTGAAAGAAAGAAGAATACGGACAAAATTAGGAAGTCTCGAATATACACAAAGAGGTTGAAGAATACTAACTACGAATGGGGGATTAAGCATCTACAGAACGGCATGCTTGTGACTCAGTTTCAACGAACTAGGTTTAGATTCTTGGGAAAAACTGACATGAAGCAATGACGACTGTATCCATGACAGATGTTTTAAATGTCTACAGACACTACTATTACAATCTCTTCAACTAGGAGCTTTATATAAATTTATTGCTCACCTGAGACAGCTTACTATGCCAACGATTATTCCACGATATTCTTACTCAAGTTACCTCTTAGAGTTAGCTTGAATAAGCCCAGATGACTTAACATAAAGCTCTTTGATATTCTTTAGAAATAAAAGCAAATCAACAAAAAGTGCCGACCCTCACAAAAGCCCTTTGACAAATTTTTCGGAGGCAATTCACCAGGTATTCAAGCTGGTAAAAAGAGCTGCCATGACTGAAACTGCAAAGGTCGTCATTTAAGGTGGCTATGAACTGGCCAAATTCAGCGGCATTCTCGAAATGCTAGCAACACTGCTCTTGCGCCACAAGGCGAGCGACCAATGCACTCACCTCTCCTTGCTGACTGATGATAGGCACATGGTAGCTAAGGCGCACATTGTGGAACAGCACCTCTAGGAACACATTGGCAACGCCAATGAGGTTGTGGTTCTCTTGCGACTCGTAGAAAGGGTCGAGGCTGGGTGACGTAGTCTCCTTGTCATCCTGGGAGCCGAGGCAGAGGAGCGAGGTTAGCTGTTTGCTGTCGTCACAGAAAAACTAACTCGAATATGCATGCCTTCCAATTTATACAAGCTGGGGGTGTGCAAGGTGTATTCGGTGTCTTTATAATAGAAAGTTCTTTAATCACACTGCCGCTTTCAAAACATTGCCTCACACTTTGGGAAAGAGAAGACAGTTCACGTAAGGAATGTTAACCATAAAACATCAAATGTAAATGTAGCATACTCAAGTATTGAAACGTTAAAACTTACGTCAAAGTATCGCGCATACTTTCCCTTCCAGCGTCTACGGCTTGTGTTTTTCGGCATAATTAGGACTCAAGTGCTTACATCGTTAGCGGCCATATATGCACCGACATGACGAGGTTGTCAGGGGCGACAGCTCATAGCTGTCCTTATAGTACTTGAGAAAAAACAATAACGTTGAGTATCAATCCCCAAGTACTTTCAGTGGTGACCACTTGAAACATCACTATTTTGAACTAAGTAAAGCCCATACTTTCGTTTCCACTATTTTGGTTCGTCTTGTGTTGGTAGAATTTCAACTCAACAACTTAGGTCAGAGCCAACATTAAAATTGGAGGCTAGATTCATATCGACATGACGTAGTTAGCTTGAGAAACTGTGCATACTAGTCGTTATTCTACAAAACTTGATGTCGCATTGCAAGGCATGAGCACTGTATTCACATAAATGTACAGTGTTTTTAATCATATAGCAACAACAATGGACAGACCAACCATCCACCTGACAAGGCTACATTTACTACCTCGAACCTTTCCTGTCCAAAGGAGTTGTTTAGTGCGACTGCTTATAAACAACCGCCTTTCATCTTGGGAAAAAAAAGAAAAAAAGGAAGACAAACAAGGCGAGGAGGTAAGTAATTGTTTGAGGCATGTTCTGCAAACAGCTGATTCTGGTGTGAACAAATCTGGTCTTGCCTTGAGGGATGGTGGCCTCTCCTTCCGGTCCTCGTACATCTCCCGCATGTCGATGATCTTGTTCTCAAGCTTCTCCATGGACCACACCTGGCTGCCCTCTTTCTTTCGTTTCACCAAGATGGCCGGCTCACTCACGAATGCACTCTTCTGCTCGCGAGAGATAAAGGAGAAGAGAAGATCCAAGACGAATCGGTGAATGATAACAATGACAGATCACGCACGTCACGTGAGCAAAGCTGGAATCGAGCGTGAACGGGTGCAACTTCACAGACCCACAAATTTAGCACTTTGGTTACCGTGTGAAAGTCACGTGAATGTTGCTCTGCGGAGAGCAAGCTTTGAAGAGAATGTGCGCGAAAGTTAGCCGAGTGCTTTTTGTTTCGTGCTCAAGGTTAAGAGTTCGACTGTCAGTAGTTAGCGGCTGCCAAGTCTTGATGGAAGATGAAAGACAAGCCAGCCAACTCCAGCAACCCTCCAGTCTCCGATCTTGTCGACTACGATAGTTGACTATTCCAACAGCGAACATAATATTGTAGCCATAACCCTCTCCACACAGCATACATGGCACCTCATTTCTAGATCCTTTGTTTTAGGCATAAAAAATTAGGTTATCATTATTATTGCTTTGGCTCGTTCTGAATGTATCTCATCACTTACATAAATACTCGGGTTCTTAAAACGCCATTTGCGTCACGCTCCTAATAATGTCAAATTACTAGCTTATCAATCTCTCGTAAGGACGAAGATAGAATACGCATCAGCCATTTGGAGCCCGCATCAAGCATATCTCATCACTCAACTCGAGTCATTCAAAATCGAGCCACACGATTTATTCATTCTACGTACTCTTACGACGTCAGCATATCAGCACTGAAAACAGAATCTGGCCTATCATTGCTTGCATCTCGTAGCCGCATTTCTAGTCTTTCCCTTTTTCACAAGTTTTTTACAGCTCGCTCGGCAGGCCACCATACATTCTTCCTCCGGCACGCATCTCCCATCGCACTGGTTACCCGCAACAAGTTGAGCGGCCGCGTACGCGCGCCGTCACTTTTTCGTCCTCATTATTTTTTCGTGCAGCTACGGACTGGAACGGCCTTTCTAACGAAATCACCGCCATAACCTGTCCTACCACCTTTTTGAACACCGTAACAAATCACCTTGCATTGTAAAAAAAAAAAAATGGCTTTCACGTTTTCATATATGTACCCACCCCTTATGTAATACCCCTTCAATGGGGTCTTTAAGGTAATAAAATGAAATGAAATGAAATAAAAGAGAGCCTGCCACTAGTTTAGACCTGCTCAAAAGTACCACATATGATGCGCGGTATTCCGTAAACCCAGAACTGGTCTATAACGTAGGGCACACAAGTGTGTTTTTTTTTTTTTTTTGAAGGGGGGGGGGGGTAAACTAAGATAGGTATATTTTTCATTGCATTCAAGCTGTTTGTGAGTTCTCAATAGCTTGTAACATCCCTGGATCCGAGGCTGAGCTGACATGTTTTTCAGCTGCTCTTGCCTCAGAGTGACCACGGAACAAATATGGCTACAGCTGCCCACCTGCCAATGACCACTGTTTGGTGATCCAGACACTCTTCCAGCAGATAAAAAAAGCCGACATATAAGAGTTCCCGTATGCTACAACGCAACGCGGTTGAAATAAACGCGAACCTTCCTATTGGGGCTCAGGTTGGCGGCTGGTATCTGCAGGGTGACCTTGAACTCCGTGTGCTTGCCCATTTCCTCGGCCAAAAAGTTGGCCTCCCGGACGAGAGCGTTTGCCCGCACTATGTCCTCCCGCAGTTTGGCCAGGCTCTTCTTGAACAGCTCGTCCCTGCAAAAAAGGGGCGGCAAAATGAGCCTTTCGTAAGAAAAGCAATACTGAACTAGGAGTAGCCAGAACGAATTTTAGGGAGATGCCCTTTAGGGGTTCATGGCTTTTCTGATCAGTGCAAACTTCTCAACTTCCTGCAACTTTGATCACCACTGCAGCAACTTTACTAATAAAATCACTTGTGGGACACACTGTTCATGCCAATACAAGATGTTTGTTCTCATTTCAGCTTATTACAAAATAGTGTGACAAATTGCCAATGTTTGGCCAGGGGCCAGTACTTTTATTGTAGTACCTTTATTCTAGCACCAGCTGCAAGCAGCCCTTCAGCCAATCTATCATTAATTATCAGTTGTTAGTTGCATGAATTGCCTCCTTTTAAATAAACTATCCTTTATCTAATGCCTTAAACAATACAGTAAATATAAAGCAGAAATATAAATAGCAGGGATCTCAAAAACAACAGCAAAGACATGTTATTGAGAATTAATTCAGAACTTTGGCAGAATTCTCACAAAACACTAAAATACTAAACCAGTTTAAACTGATTAATTACTGTCCGAGAACTCTACTATCATTGGTATCACTTATACGTTCATTATTAGTAAGAGCAAGCAAAATTCAACTTCTAATTTCTGAATTTCCTGCTGAAATCCCAGCACCTGTACATCAGTGTCATTTCTTAGATTTCAGTCTTTTTTTTTTTGCACATCTCGGCCACAGTGGCTCAGTAAGGTTTACTGAAACTTGCCATGCTACACTTTTATTGGCACGGAATTATGCAGGCCCCTAGCAGATGCAGTCAAAATCTATGACGTCAAGGAGAGTTGCTGCCGAAACTTCGAAGGTGACGTTGCCCCCTGTATCACCTTTTTTGCACAAATGCCAGTTTACTGAGCAATGCCTGGCAAGAGTGCCGCTTTTGGTGTTGTGCGAGGATAGTTTACAAATGCAGCTGAAACCATTTTTTCTCTTCGGTGCACCGAACAACGTTTCCAGAGTCATCACATTACCGAAAGAGATAAATTATTATACAGTACACGAGACTGCTGACAGCAATAGAGAGCTGCTTCGTTACGACAATCTCAAAGCTGGTACAGTAAAAGCTCGTTAATTCGAATTCCACGGGAACGCTGAGCAATTTCGAATTAAACAAATTTCGAAATAATGATAGTGAGCAAAAATGGGTGGATTTCGGAGGTGGGGTCACGAAAAATATTTATTGGCCAAAAAAGTCGGTGATGACCATCTGCTTCTTTTCTCTGAATGCCACAGCTGCGGCTCCCTGTTCCAGCGCGCGGACGCGGCGCAGGGAATCCTCTTCACCCTCTTCAAAGCTGAAGAAGAGACGCGCCACATTAAGTGCCTCCATCACCGCAGAAGCTGACGGGCGCACAGGCGCTTCGTCATTTTCGTCTTCCTCACCTTCTTGCTCTTCAGCATCAGGCTGCGCACCGGCTACTTGAGCGATAATGTCCTCATCAGTCAGAGCACCACACACCGATGCACCGGTGTCAACTTCAACATAATCAGCAAAATGTACGCCCCGAAGAGTGTCGCGCAATGCCACTGGCATGAGCTCCTCAGCCCCATCCACGTCGACGTCACAACTATCCTGCGCACTTCCAGCTGCAAATCCACTGTGGCGGAAACAGTTTGCGATTGTGGTCGCAGTCACCTGTTCCCATGCGCGCACCAACATGTGCATGGCAGTGAGCAGCGTAATGCCGAAGTCCTTCTCCTTCCTGTCGCCCGTACACAAAATCATTCGTGAACGAACAACGTGCTCGAGGAACAAAGTGACGCTGCCGGGAGCGGCCTAGGACTGCTAGGACTACTCCGCTGAATCCTCAACGTCCCGTGGGTCCCGCGTACAAGTGGCGCCAGGCGCTGAGATAGCGGGAGGGCTACAAAAAAAAAAAAAATTGCTCCCTGGATTTTGGAGGCCATACTTTGCTCGCCCTTTGCTCGGAGGCCACTTGAAGCTCGAAAAAACTGGTCGTGCCACCTATCGTTCGACCGTAAAAACTTCCACTAGTGTTTGACGATGATGACGCTCGGCGGCGCGTGCTTCGAATTATCCGTAGAGGCAGCAATTTCTGTTCAAAATAATGAATCGTTTTACACATGGACTCCTATGCACTGCGGACATGACTGCGGCGACCATTTCGAATTATCCAAAATTTCGAATTAATGAGGTGTGAATTAACAAGCTTTCACTGTACATACCCACAAATTGAAAGATATCCAGTGTTAAAATGTTTACCTCTCCTTGGCCCACCGCTCCATGCGCGAGGCGACGCTGGGGCTGGGCAGTCCCGAGGAAGCCGCCTTGGCCCCCAGCGGGTCAAAGGGCAGGTAGGGCGCGTACGGCGTGGACGGCGACATCTGGTTGCGCAGCAGCTGCAGCTGCCGCTCGTACATCTGACGCTGCTTCTCCAGGGCGTCTGCGATGAGAAAACGAAGTCAGCGAACGTGCTACAAAAAGACGCGTCACAAATACTGGCATGCTGCCAGGCTCGGAAAAAAACGTCGGCTGCGACGACTGACAGGACGACCCGCTAGCATGGGTCATTCAAAGTTGTGACACCGCAACGTGAGTGGCTAGCCGAGCAGTGTAAACAATACTAACGCTGTCTACTAGCTTGATGCATCAACTCTGAAGAGTGACAGATGCAGCAGACGAGATTCGCTGTGGCAAAATACAGAATTTATACACGACCTGAAAGTCAGCTAACTTGTTTATTTCTTCTGGAACTTGGCCAAAGCAGTTGTTTGAGCAACTTGCTTCGTTCGTCAATGTATCACTTAAGCCATGCCAAACTTGCACCATAACATGTAAGGTTTGATACTTCAAGACACTTGCATTGTTATACTGCTTCTCTGCTTGGCTCATCAAATGTGAAAACAGCAAAGCCAAGGCAACACTAAAGTAACGCCACTTACTGTGCTTGTCTTCCTCGTGCTGCTTCTCGAGCGATTGCATAGCTGCCTGGATGGGATCGTTAACCAGTTCTTTCATCATGATTTCCTCACGGGCAAATTCGTAGTCGATGGGCCGGTCGAGAATGGGCGTCTCCAATGCACCGGCTGAAATAATGCCACAATTTAGGTGTATAAAGCTCTGTACATAATCAGACATCTCTCAACTGTCTTTTTTTTTCTTTAACTGAAGTGACCAGTCTGAGCCGTAAGCGAGACATACTACAAAACATTGTTTTGTGTTTACAGAATTTCCAGTCATTACATTGTCATGATTTCTGTGCTGCTGATTATGGTTTAACACTAATTACATGAACTGTAACCAATGATGTTAGAGGTGATGTACTTTCCTACCGGATTTCTCGACTTACATTGTAACCTAAAAAATTATGCAGAAGAAGAAACTTGAGAAATAGCACTGCTAATTTAACGAAGTGAACAAAAGTAAAACAGAAAGCATGTGGTTCCATGTTTACAGCTAATGTGGGTGACACAAAAAAGCACTGACAAATGTATGACTACACGACAATGTTCAATTTAATCTGCTAAGTCCCAACACTGCTCGTTTACTGGCACTTCAGGCAGGGGTCGGGTGTGGCAACTTTCTGAATCCCTCACCTGTAGCTCGTTGCAAATGCCTTGACACAAAATGGGCGACAAAGAAATAAACAATGGGATGGCATGATGACTACCCCTATAGACAGTTTTTCAAACTCCCATTTTTCTTTCCCTTTGTACTTCTTCATACAAGATAAATTTACACCACTACAGCTGACTATTAGTTTCATTGCTTTCTAAACTTGGTATCGATAGTGCAATCATACTGTAAACATTATATTCTATGATCTATCTTCATATTAACACGCCTGAATAATGAAATGTTGCAAAAAAATGCCAATTAGCTTGTCTAAAAAGAAACAGTCTTACAGAGGAAGCTCACATGTAGGTCAGGCACCTCAGTGGCACATCCTTAATTGTTCTATTCTTTTCTTATCACCGTCTGCATTGAATGACTGATAACAGTGTTAAAAGGCAGTGCAGCACCTTGCCAGATGATGGCGAACAATGATAAGAGTGGCTTTGTGAAAGACAAACTATATTTGCATCAGACTGGAGCATCTCTGCGGCTAACGAGTAGACTGCCCTCCACACTTTTGAACTACCCTGACATGAAGTTGTCCATCTGTTCCACAACAAACCTGATAGCATTTCAAATCTTTCAGTAGTCTGACACAAAGCGCTTATAGCCACACCACTGCAAGAAACAGCTGTACATCTCTCAATGTGACCGACCCTGACAATAAAGCCATCGCGTTGTTCCAAAACTGCACTTTTTTTTTGGCTGTGATATTTCATCAAGGTAATGCTTCCCTGTAATAGGGCCTATACATTACATTTGTGATTTCATTTTTCACGCTAATGAGCCTGCATTGCGTAGCAAAAAAATCGGTTTCAGCAGATATGATATCAGTGAGTGAAAAATCTTGGTGAATGTTTCTTTCTTGTGAATAGACTGAAAAGTTGCACCTGGCACTACTACTAGATAACACAGTAATTTAATGTAGACTCGATAAGCTGTTGATTCAACTGCCGGTATGACATAGACATAATGTTACTGTTGCTCATGAAGCAATAGGACAAAAACTTTGTCAGAAGCAAGGAAGAGTTTTAAAAGCCTTAGAGAAAATTCAGAGAGCGTAAAACCCGCTGTACCTGTCTGCATTCGTGGGCAGTTGACCCTGAAGAAGTGATTGTTGCCCCAGAGCACTCGGTCGCCATGGTGAAGCTGTGTCTTGGACACAATGGCCGACCCATTCACGCACGTCCTGAGGACAAAGAATGGCACCGATGAAATCGACTTCCATCTTTTCTCGACATAATGACATAATCAAGTCTAAGCATTGCATATGTTGCAGTCTGTAACGGTATTGAACACTAGGAATTCATCACAAGGAAGAACACGAGGAATGTGAAACATGATGTTCTTATGTAAGCGATGTCATTAAATTTCAACAAAGCAGTACTAAAACTTGCTAGTAATTGCACTACTGGCCTCAGAGAAGGACGTTCCACAGCAGGTACATTGACAGGTTGTTGGAATATGTAGAGAGTGCAAAAGTGTTTACTGGTTGATAAGAATATTGAATGTAATGCTCATTCAGAGAAAAAACAATGTCGACTTATTATAACCTCATAGAATGTACATCTGTCTCCTAAAGAACACTTTTGCTATTAGATGACCTGTACTAGAGATTTCTGGATTAATGTCGAACATTTAGAGTCCCATAATGCGCACTTAAAGCAAGGTGCAAAAGTATTTTAGCATTTAGACCCCATTCAAATGGAGTTGCTGCCATACCATTGCAGCATGTGGCTGAGAGGTTCTTGTAGGAACCCTAATAAAGTCAATGTAAAACTAAATTTGTTTAATTTAAAAAAAATGAAAGTCGTCAGATGTTTTCATAAAGAATGAAAACCGCAAGAATTCACATTTTTGAGACAGCAGGCTAATAAACATTTACAAAAAACAGATCAACCTGGACAGCTTAATCTCTTCCACATATAAGCTCGTGCACTGAACATGATAATCACTAGAAGTGCCTGCTTGCGCCGACGCACAGAATTATGAAAGATTCAACAAGAGGACAAAAACAAAGGCAGACTCTTCTCCCACCTTGCGCCTTCAAGTGGCGTTATGTACAGTTCAGGACCCTCGATAGTGATGATGCAGTGCTCGGGCATGATTCCGAGTCCGCTGAGTTGAATGTCCTGCTCGGAAGGCGCGTCGGGACGTCCCACCAGTGTCCTTTCCTACAGTGATCAATGCAAAGGCCGTTGTACGAGAATAATACAGGTTCATGGACATGGGAGCTAATGGGTGTATTGTCAAAACTACCAAAGCAACCAGTGTGTTTTGTTACATCATGCTCAACTTCAGCGCCATAAAGAGCAAGAGACTACGAAAATATGCAGAACAAGGCTGACCTTCATATAGTAGACAAGCAGTTCGTTGAGCGAAGGGTCGGCGTTCAGGTTGACCATGTAGTACTTGTCGTTTTCGACCTTGATGCCCGACGCCTGGACTGAGATGCCCATCTTCTCAAGGGCTTGCTGCCTTTCCTGTGGAATTCAAACCAAAACCAATGCAAAAGGAACGGTGCATACATTCAGAAGAACCCACAAAAGAACAAGCCACGTCAAGGGTGCATTACATCATTTAGATGATATAACAGAGAGGTGAACGTTATAAAGCAAAATGCCATACTTGGGTGGTACTGAGAGACCTAAACGCATAATAGATGCCCGGCTAAGCACAGTCGTAAGGACGCGTGCTAGCAGGCAGGTTGCTAGGGAGCAGTGAAAACATGAGGAGTGCGAGGGCAAGTCTAGCTTTTGGCACAATGAAATGCAATTCAGTTACAGTACATAAGACTTTTTACGAGTGTATGTGATGAAAATAATGCAAAAATATGACTTCTTCACAGGTTGCTGTTGTTGTTGCTGTAAAAAACTTCACACAAATAATTTGACATGCATAATGTTTAGCAGAGTTAAACCCAGGCTTTACATATTAGTGATGTTAAACAAAACTTACAGGTAGCATTTTCAGATGGAAGTGTTGGCCATAGAAGTGCCGACTAACATAGCTATTTGGAACACGTTTTTTACACTTTCTCAGTATGTCCATGATGAAATTTTTCTCACAAATCGCAGTTTTGAAGCGCATCTCTGGTTGCAAACTACTACACTGCGAGCACGGCAGTTGACGCACAGTCACGCTCCATGCGTCTGTTGGGCTTGCGAGAGGACAACTACGTCATTGAGGCCGAAACCACTTGTTTACCTGATGGATCTTTTCTGTCTTGCGCAGCTTCTCTTCCCAGGTCTGCGAGATCTCTTGCATCAGGGTTTCTGACTCTCGTAGACGTTCACTCAGACCTTCTGGCGTCTGTATGGACGACGTACAAAATCAAAAGAATAAGTTTCTACGAACATAACGAAAACATAAGTGATGTTTTTATTGAAAGACACCGGTACAAATGCAAGTGGCGCAACTAATGTGATAATTCTGTGCTTTTTAAACACACTTCTCTGTCTATCTTTTGAGATGAAAGTGCTCTGACGGAAGCAGCATCTTGGTTTTCTAGTAGGATACATTCTCCACCATAAGGAAACCAATGAAGAAATGCAACACACAAGAACCTCAATACACAACATTTCCTGTTATACAACAACTCAGCATTGCAAACTGCGCTTTTAATGGTATCGGTAGTACTAATTATGTGAAGACGCCACTGTACAGAATGTTTAGCATATTGTGACGAAAACAGAAAAAAAGAGAAGAAAATAGAAAGAAAAAAAGTGGTAGACTGCAAGCAAATGAGATGTAAACAAGCAGTGTTTAACAAGAAGCCTTTTCTAATGAATTATCAGAAAGCCTTATTATACACCAAGTCAAATGCAGTTGCGATTGCTTTTCTCTGCCACTTTGTTTTTAGATTCAAACATAATTACAATATCAACACCAGATATAACTGCTTCATTATAACTCGCTCATTATAAGCCTAACAGCTTGTCTGAAGAAACATTTCAAGAAAAAAATCACAGCATATCCACGGAGTGAATGATGATGAGTGGGGCGAAGCTTCGAAGGGTTTTATCGACAAACCGTGAATCGTCTGCCTGTACGTCAGTCTGCTGTCCATCTCTCTACACGTCCGTCTGTCTATATGTATGTCCTTGCGTTCGTCTGTACGTCCACTTAGAGAACACTCCAAGCACTGCCATCTCACATATTTTCATCATATATTCATCATACACAAGTACCGCCATCCAGCGGACATTCCAAGGACTAAAATGAGAGGTGGCTACTACATACAGCAGATGCACGACCCATGCCTTAAGGAGCTTTGCTCCTAGAAGATTAACATGATAAAAGAGAAGTGAGGACATAGACGAACCGTGGCATGCTTGAGCTGATCCCTGAGCATCTCCACTTCCTCTCGGAGCTCACGAATGATGCGGGCGTTGGGGTCTTCGTTGACTACGGCGTGGTTGATGATGCGCTTGGCTCGGTCCGCATACCTCAGGGTTGACAGAGTCTCCTCATAGTTGTCTGCTGCTGGGCTGATGGCAGCCACCATCACAGTGCGACTGTTGCCTCCCAGGTTGTCCTGGACGTAAAAAAAAGTATGCAACACGATCTACATAGTGCTAAGTACAGGGGCTATGAAAAGAAGTGCGAATAGCACAGCCGTGCTGTTCTCATTGTATTCTGACCTCGGTGGAAATAAAAAGACGCTAGGGCGCTGCTTGATTACCTCATTGATCTAGTGGCTTTTTATTACCGCACTCGCTACAGTCGCATCGAAAGAATTGGTGAACAGCAGAGCACGCAGTTGCTGCACTGTTCTGAGTTTCTTTTACATCACGATAGTACACAACTGTGGAAAGCTGTATTTGACACAATGGCTGTAGATAAAGCTTGCACGAGCATAGCAGTTGTGATGACGAAAATATGGACATATTGGTCTCATTTGAACATATGCATAAATACCCTTTTTTTAACTTTGTTTTAGACAGTGCACATTTTTTATAAAATCTGATGACAGACAGTTTACTGTTGTTTTCACATGCGAACTGTACATCAAGGCGAAAATACTTGGCCACAACTAAAGTGACAATGCAATGACTAATTAACAAAAGATCATTATTACCCTTTTTAATTATTGAGTTTAGGGTGGTTACTTATATACGAAACTTAGAGTCCATAGCAATTTATGGATTACCCATTTTCTATAAATTGCAGAAGTTGCCCAGAAATCGAGATGCTTATCGTCAAAATTCAATGACAACACTGAAACTGATTGTATCTGACACACAGAAAACGTGGCCACTATGTTACGTCAGGCCGGAACTTCCCACGACAAGCAAATCAATGTTAGTAGTCCTTGTGGACATAAGTTGAACAAATAACAAGATGGATGCTTTCCAACTTATGCTTATTGCTCTCTTATGCAACACTTTCTTTGCGTAGGCGACGATACGTTAGCACAAAATAAAAAGCATTTTATAAGTTATCCTATGCACTTTCATCATCAAAACCAAGAGGTGAGCATATTACCTTCAGAAGCCACGTGAGAACAGAGTCCCGATATGGTACAAAGGAATCTTTTGCTTTCCCCGAGGACTGGTCAGCTAACTTGGAAATGACTAACCCCAACGTTGTGAGGGACCTAAAAAAATAATGAAAAATTGCACACTGAAGTTGAGCAGTGTATTCGATATCCCAACACCTACAGTACTTAACTAGTTGGTGCTCATGTTAGGTTCTGTGTTAGGTTTCATGGACAGCGACAATACAAAACGTAAAAACCACATGGTGCGCCGACATCGCAACAAACAGCTATAACACACGAGTCTAGGTGGTTATAAAGAGTTGGAGTAACATGACAAACAACAAAATGAACCTGCCTGACCTGAACTAAAGCACACGCCATAAAAAAATGCTGACAAGCTGGGCTTTGTCCCTCTTACTTAAGTTAAGGTTGTGTTCCGTAAACTAAATTTTTCAAGTTAAAATTATGCTGAAAGCAATAAAGCAATAAAGGATCAGGAAAACATAATTTATATCAAGCAGTAGAATATTAATTCTAACCTTTATGAATGAGTTTAACCCCTCCCCCACATAAGTTGCACCTCATTTCACACTAAGGAGAAAAAAAAAACTGACAATCACTTATAAGCAGCACGGAGCAGCAAGGAAATCCATACTAATTCCACAAAAGCTAATTTCCAATTTCACTTTCCTAATGCTTCCGCCATCTTACAAGATACCGCAGATCCAATCTGCAAAACTTTCAGGGTCCTTTTAGGCATCAGCTTAAGATAACTCAAAAACAAAGTCTTCTTTTTCCTCTCAGCCAATGTACTGATGCTGCCTCACCACCCTTCGAAAGTTTTCTGCGCTTTATGTGGCTTCACAGTACCTCCAACATTGGAGGTATCTCACCTGGTTTCGCATAGCCTTCATGACCGAAACCCCTTTGGCCAAGCTTTGATGCGAAGTGAAGACGTCATCGTGCAACCCAATGTCACATGACGTCACTGGGGCGTCATGACGACTTCATAAATTTTGGGCATCTGTGACATCATTGCGACCTCATCTCGTGATGACGCATTTTCCCCATCACTTGTCCCCGCAACTCGGGACTTGAAAAGCCGCTGACGTGGGACGCCAACGGTAAAGCTTCGCATATTAGGGGGCATTCAAGGCATTCAGTATCCATGCACATCGAGTTGTCGAATGTTTCACCCTCGCACTGCCCATTGCTAGCCTCCTGGTTAGCTCAATCGGCCGAGCGACCACCCAAAAACAGCTTACTTCTGTGTTAAATCTGTGGACCAGGATGAATTTTTGCGTTGGCCTACTAAGAAGCTTTTTTTCTGAGGAGTCCATCTGTATTTCCTTGTCGGCTTTTTTTGCTACAAGCAAGTGGTTGTCAATTTTCATCTCTCGTCCCTTCCACCACCACGCGGGATTCTGCAGAACTGACTTGCAGTAAGGTGAGTGAAAAAAAAAAAAAAAAGCATGCCGGTGCACAGTACCAATGTTAAAATTTGTACACCCTACTCACTTGTTGATATTGGAACCTTCTTTTAGACGATCGCCAATGGCACCAGTCTTGACTGCCCGTTCGCTGCCAGCCAAATCTACAAGACTCATTTTGGACACTTTCTCACCGGTGACCTGAAACGGTGTGCGGAGAATTCAGACAACTGCATGTAATTAAGGTCTGTGACTTTGATAGTAATTAACACAAAAAAGACAGAATCCTTACCCCAGAGGCATTGTCTCTAATTAAACAGGTCAGAGTGATATTGAATACTGCGTGAGAGCGACTGGATTCGCTGTTCATGTTAGTTGCTGCGACTGTCCGAGACTTGTTGCCTTCCGTCATTAGGTTATTAATTTCCTGAAAGTCAAGAAACAGAGTCAAGTGTTTGCAAACTCGAACTACGACAAACACAGAAAATCGCAGCACACTTTCGTAGTGTGCCGTATCAGAACACAGGACTTACAGCAGAGCTTTGCTTACAACCAGCACTTAATTTTGGAAATTTTAAGTACCCCGTCCAAATTGACATAGGAGCCTAATTTCAACATCAACATAAATCTAATAAATTGCTGTTTATAATTAAATTATAGTAAAAGTTCCCCTTTTCTTCCCGGTATCAGTCTGTATACTTGTAATGAGTACATATATATAACAAAGGCATATTGTTGTCTGGGATGTGCCTTATAACATCATCATCATCTTAATTAAAATTACACTTCAACTCAGCAAATAGCATGGTACAAGGAGAAGAACAAATCAAATAAAAAATTATCAAACGAGACTTGATACTGATACAGGCAGAATATTAAAATCTCACAAAGCAGAACACAGAAAACAATATACTACGGCATAATGAGATTCAACTATATCTTATGTTTGTTTAATAATACCCGATATAGCTGGCATATGTTTAGATGTAATACAAAAAGAACTGCGTTGATCTTTTAGCAGGACTGTCGAGACACTCACCTCATAGGAGGATACGGCTAATGTTGAAAGACCATCAACATACGGGCCAAGAATATTGTGTTCTCGAACTTTTAGATGCTGTTTCCCTCTGAAACAAGAGGCACACAAACAAGATCTATCATTTCTTGGAAATTAACAAACGCGTTTTTAGTGTGCGATAAACTAAAAAAATGATAGAATTGATTGTCTTATGAGACTCCTTCCTTGCATGGCTGTCGATTATTTTTGTCGGCAGGAACAGTTGAAAAGGATCTCGCCAAGTCAGAATTTTTTTCAGGCAAAAGTGTACTTATCAAGGTAATTATCAGCATAATACTAATTTCACACTCATACAGCATTCTTATGAGAGCTACATATGAGATCAGTTGGCATTGTTGAAACAATGGTGCAACACGAAACCTAAGTTTGATCCAAGAAACCCTTGAATTAAAGGAAGTGCTGAAAAATTGCCATCAGCAGCCAATTTTTACGTCTACTGCTGGCTGGCCTTAAGGTGTAGAGAAACTCTATGAATTCGACCAAGTTAATGCTTGCTAAACGTCAGACAGAATGATTACCTTTTTAAGCAAACTTGTGCTAATCACAAAACAACAAAGAGTGTTTTTACTGTTCATTTTCACAGTCTACAGTAGCACAAAAAAGCTCTTAATAAAATGAATCATCTGTATCTTTTAGGTCATAATAGACGAAAACAAACACACCTCTCTCGAGTGCACCTCCTTACATCTGCCTGTCAATGGCTTCTGTGCTAAACACTCTAACATACACTTTTCCATTTGTGATTTTTTAAACTGCAGTTTACGCAGATTCAATAAACGATCTCTTCAACCTCATTCCGGTTGCTGTCTGCAGATTTTGGGAGCTGTTCAGAGGTTTTAAACTCTTACGGTGTCTATTGATGAGCAGGTTTCTTTACATATAGCCATCAGCTCTGAAAAAATCGGCCCAATATCAACACTCACCCCCTGGGGTCTAATAGGTCGTGGACGCGCTCGTTATAGATTTCCATGTAGGACACCTCCACCTTGTAGCTGATGTTAGGATCCGCGCAGCAGGCTATGCGCTCGAATAGCGAGTCGCATAGCCGCGGTATCACCCCCTTGTTGTCCGCAGTCCCCATCATGGTGTAACTCTTGCCAGAACCTGGAAAGAATGACATCAGCAAAATGTAGTAAGATTCTGGCTAAATAACAATGCAGCAAAAAAATTCACAGTCCCTTTACCTAATGCTCATGAAAGCACAAGCAAAAGTGTATGCTCTCATGTTTTATTCACTGCTCATGCACAATTAAGTGCCCTTTATTTACTTTTGAATCAAGCCAACATTCCATTTACTATTAATTCACATTGATTTACCTTTCGTTATCATCAATCCACATGGCATTTACATTTGATTCACCTTATGCACTTAATGACCGCTTCTACTCACTTGGAATACATTTGCTATTATTAAGTTTATTTCACATTTTATTTGGCTTTAATTAACTTTATTTCTTAACCCCTAAATGCAGCGGTGAGCCACACCTAACTCTTTTTTACCCTTTGTGTTCACAACACCTGACACCGGCTTTTTTCTTGTGGGCATGTAAACTTCTAAACAGCAATAAATTTTTAGTGATAGCTGATTATGATTTTGGCAATGCCACCAACTGAGCTAGATTGAATAAGACTAAATATTAGTTAGATTTCAAACCACTAAATGATGTTTTTCACTGTACTACAAAACCATATTCACATTTTAATTAGAGTCAGAATGTTCATTCCACTGCTCTCTATGATACATTGTGTTTTAAGGCACAAGTGAAGCATTAGGAGAACATAAGCGTTTCTTTTAAAGCGAAAGCTGTTATGAGATCTCAACTCGGGTCACGCCCAATTGTCCGCCGCCGCCACAGGTGTCCGTAACCACATCGCCCGAAATTAGAAAAAAAAAAAACTTAGCACCAATGACACAGTGAGGCTCGAACACAGGTCTGCAGGTGCCAGCCCAGTATTCTACCACTGCGTTACGCCGGTGCTTGTAACCTTTATCAAACTTGGCAGGCTTGATGCCAGGAAAGCAATTGCGTGAATGCGACTCATAAAGCATTTTAAAACAGCGAAAGAACAACCAGTCGTCGCACAATACGAAAAACGCAACGAGTAGGCCGTCCAATGCTCCAACCAATCACAAAAGCTTGTCCTTGTTCCCCTATTAACTGGGGCGCATACCCACTTCAGTATCCAAATAAAATTATTAATAATGACCAAGTGGGTATTAGGCAAGTGTGCTTGCTGTAGTTACTCAATGAGTGTTTCGAAAAAGCTCTGAAGGCTGTTCTTCTAGCTTTCGTTGTGACTGTGCTGTGCCTTCCGCGCAGGCCTGGCGTTTTTTGTTTTGTATACTGACGATTTATTGGCAAGTGTGAATGATGGCAAGTTTGTGCACAGGTACAAAAAGGGCAGACACCAGAACAATGCAAGTACCGTGTAAAAGCTGAGCTTCCGTGGAATAAAGCTTGTACTGCACCCAAAATAAAAAAAAACTCAATGACCCACCTGTCTGCCCGTAGGCAAATATGCAGGCGTTGTACCCTTGGAAGGCATTGTCCAGGATGTCCGTCCCTAGGCAGGAGTAGACCTGTTCCTGGCTGGCAAAGTGCCCGTCCGATTCGTTGAATGACCAGAAGCAGTGGTCGAAGGCAAACGTCTGCAGTGCAGAGGCAATGCACCCAAACGTAAGCGATGGCCACAACTTTATGAAACAGACTGTCATGTTGCAGACAGTAAAAATCACTTTACGGTGCTCACGAACTAAAGACCTAGCCTTGGCAAAGTTTTGAGTGGCAGTTAGTATTGTTCTATTAAGTGCTCTATTGCCACTGTACATACCAGTGAGTAAAGTGCCTTTTTACTTTTTGGAGCATGCTTCTGAGTAAGAAAAGGACTGCTTTGGAGCAGCCATAGGTGTTTTTGGAGCAGAAAAAAAAAATGCTAGTTTAGAATAGCCATTGGTGTTTTAGAAGCAGATGTTAAATTCGCCATACATTAATTGGAGTTCAGAGCATTGTTGAGGCATCTTGTAAATACTAACATATTTTTATCGAATATATTTAACTTATAGCAATCAATGTAAATTCGATGTTGTAAACAGTGGCAGATTGTCAAAAATGTGCTGTGAAATGAGCTACAGTTTAATATAATACTAGAGTTTGTGGCAGAAATCGAATCAAATAGAACCAAAAAAGCTGAGTGCCACAATTTGATTGATTGATTGATTGATTGATTGATTGATTGATTGATATGTGGGGTTTAACGTCCCAAAACCAAGTGCCACAATTCAGAAGTAACCCCAGTCCCATACAAGTGTTGCCAAATAAACAGTATATAATTGGTATGACATTAAAGCAATCCTCCTCATTTTCACATTTCACCACATTAGCCTGCATGTCTAGCTGTGAAAAAAAATAAAAATAGTGAAATGAGCTGTATGCTTAATATGGCAATTCTCGTTGCGCAAATGAGATCAGAGCTCATAATGCTGCACACTAGTAGCACACTGGGATGACACCTAGTACACAGATTACTTTCAGTTTCTTAAAACTTATGAGTCAGTCAAACAGTAAAAGTTTGTCATTCTCATTCTCTCAGTGTCCTTTGGAGCAGTTACCAGGTTTGGAGCAGTTACCAACAAATATTACTGTTTGGAGCAGCAATTCTCTTTTGGAGCAATTGTAACATCACTCCCACCACTGACATACATTGATCTTTGAAATGTTATTGACCCGAAGTTTCGAAGCTGGCTTTAGTGTGCCATACGAATCTCCTGTATACAGAGACAGCTCTGCAGAAGTTTGAAGCTCACTAAACGTTGATAAGATAATTTATTTTGACATTAAAACCCATTTTCGCAAGGTGCAGCTACTGACATTGACACTGACGTGACGTCGGGCTACAATTTAAATTCTGGTGACCTCACGCATCTGCATGGCTAGTTGCAATAACGTCAGATACCAAAACATTCAAAATGGCCGTTTGTACACCACCAACGGAGATGAAAATGGAGTGGCGTCCATGAACACGTTGCACTTTACATGAGCACGTGACGAAAGCTTACACCGTGTTGTGCCTCCAGGGTACATTAGTTGTCTTGTCAGTACCAATTTAAATATCACTACTAACATTTCACAAACCTGAAAGCCTTTGCTTAAAGGCACCATTGAATGTTGTGTGGATGTCGAGAAAAGAAGGTCCACTCACGTAACAATTTCTCTCTGAGGTAAAGCAAACAGCAAGTAGGTCATGATCATTTTCAAACCACATAACATTGAAAGGGGAGACGATGGTAAATCTTTCAAAACATTCACTTTACTCAGATCTACTTGACTTCACTAGTCCTAGCAAACATAAACCAGTTGTTCCAGCTAACATGTAGCCGAATTTCTTTTAAATTGTGGCCCTACATGTAGATGAGACCGTTTGTAAGTTGTTGGCAGGTGCCTGAACAAGCATCAAGCACTGTTTACATTCAAGTTCATAACATGATTAGAAGCAATTGCTTCAGTAGCTCTTTAATGATAACTTTCATACCTAGTCATAATGAAAACAAGGTTTGTAGATCAGGCCAGGAAATGTCAGCCACAGTAGTTAGAAATGCGCTACTGCTCGCACCGCTCTTTCACAAATGCTTGACGAACACTTGCAAAGCTTTTAATAAGGAGTAGTTGTGGCTGTGTACAAAATATGCAGAAAAGCAGGCACTGTAAGCATGACAACTGGAAATTGACAGGTGAAGTGTAGCTCACCTTCGGGTGTTTCCGTCTAGGCCAGCGGTGTTTGGCAATCGAAGCAGACAGACGGAATAGATACATAAGGAAAAAAAAAAAACACCTCAGGTTAGCAGTGATGTTAAGAGGTCTCAATAAGGCATGCACACTAACAGTTCACATGCTTGTGAAGCTGGATTCCCACAAGACCTTGACATGAGTGCAAGCAAATAAGTCATACATATTCCATATATTCCATACATACATATTCCATACATATTCCATAGATATTCCATAAATTTTCCATACATATGAAGTGGTACAATGCAAGGATTCCTTTCGATAAAATATACTCATAACATAAGGCCTGTTCATCATCGCCCTCTGATATGCTCGGACTGTGGAACATGTGGAAAGGCAAAGCATTGTAGTAGAATGGTTCGATTATCTTGGAAATGATTAGTTTATCATCATCATCATCATCATCATCATCATCAGCCTGACTACGTCCACTGCAGGACAAAGGCCTCTCCCATGTTCCGCCAGTTAACCCGGTCCTGTGCTTGCTGCTGCCAATTTATACCCGCAAACTTCTTAATCTCATCTGCCCACCTAACCTTCTGTCTCCCCCTAACCCGCTTCCCTTCTGTGGGAATCCAGTTAGTTACCCTTAATGACCAGCGGTTATCCTGTCTACGTGCTACATGCCCGGCCCATGTCCATTTGCTCTTCTTTATTTCAGCTATGATATCCTTAACCCCCGTTTGTTCTCTAATCCACTCTGCTCTCTTCTTGTCTCCTAAAGTTACACCTACCATTTTTCTTTCCATTGCTCGCTGCGTCGTCCTGAATTTAAGCTGAACCCTCTTTGTAAGTCTCCAGGTTTCTGCTCCGTAGCTAAGTACCGGCAAGATACAGCTGTTATATACCTTCCTCTTGAGGGATAGTGGCAATCTACCTGTCATAATTTGTGAGTGCTTGCCGAATGTGCTCCACCCCATTCTTATTCTTTTAGTTACTTCAATCTCGTGGTTCGGCTCTGCGGTTATTACCTGCCCTAAGTAGACATAGTCTTTTAAAACTTCAAGTGCACTACTACCTATCTCGAAGCGCTGCTCCTTTCCGAGGTTGTTGTACATTACTTTCGTTTTCTGCAGATTAATTTTAAGACCTTTTTTTCTGCTCTCCTTGTCTAACTCCGTAATCATGAGTTGCAGTTCGTCCCCTGAGTTACTCAGCAATGCAATGTCATCGGCGAAGCGCAGGTTACTAAGGTACTCTCCATTAACTCTTATCCCTAACTGTTCCCATTCTAGGCTTCTGAAAACCTCCTGTAAGCACGCGGTAAATAGTATTGGGGAGATTGTGTCCCCCTGCCTTACACCCTTCTTGATTGGTATTCTGTTGCTTTCTTTATGAAGCACTACGGTAGCAGTTGATCCCCTGTAGATTTCTTCCAGGATGTTTATATATACTTCATCGACGCCCTGATTCCGCAGTGTCTGCATGACGGATGATATTTCTACTGAATCAAACGCCTTCTCGTAATCTATGAAGGCTATGTATAGTGGTTGGTTATACTCTGAGCATTTCTCTATTACCTGATTGATAGTATCAATGTGGTCGATTGTTGAGTAGCCTGTTCGAAATCCTGCTTGTCCCTTTGGTTGACTGAATTCTAATGTTTTCTTTACTCTGTTAGCAATTACCTTTGTAAATAGCTTGTATACTACAGAGAGCAAGCTGATTGGCCTGTAATTCTTCAAGTCCTTGTCATCTCCTTTCTTATGTATTAAGATGATGTTAGCGTTCTTCCAAGACTCTGGTACTCTTCCCGTCAGGAGACACCTCGTAAACAGGGTGGCTAGTTTTTCTAACACAATCTGTCCTCCATCTTTCAGCAGATCTGATGTTGCCTGAGCTAGTTTTTCTAACACAATCTGTCCTCCATCTTTCAGCAGATCTGATGTTGCCTGATCCTCACCAGCAGCTTTGCCTCTTTGCATGTTCTCCAAAGCTTTTCTGACTTCTTCTATCATTACTGGTGGGGTGTCATCTGGGTTACTGCTAGTTCTTGTAGTATTAAGGTCGTGGTTGTCTCGGCTACTGTACAGATCTCTGTAAAACTCCTCCGCTATTTTAACTATCCTATCCATATTGGTAATTATTTTGCCCTCTTTGTTCCTTAGTGCATACAACCGACTTTTGCCTATCCCAAGTTTGCTCTTCACTGCTTTGACGCTTCCTCCGTTTTTCAGAGCATTTTCAATTCTCTCCAAGTTATACCTTCTTACATCGCATACCTTACGTCTATAAATCAACTTCGGAAGCTCTGCCAGTTCTATTTTGTCTGTAGTACTTGACACTTTCATGATTTGATGCTTCTTAATTAGCTTCTTCGTTTCCTGGGAAAGCTTGCCAGTGTCCTGTCTAACTACCCTGCCTCCAACTTCCACTGCACACTCCTTAATGATACTCGTCAGATTATCATTCATTGTATCTACGCTAAGATTGGTTTCCTCACTAAGAGCCGAGTACCTGTTCTGCAGCGACACTCTGAATTCCTGTACTTTCCCTCTCAGTGCTAGCTCATTGATTGGCTTCTTGCGTATCAGTTTCTGTCGTTCCTTCTTCAAGTCTAGGCGAATTCGAGACCGTACCATTCTATGGTCACTGCATCGTACCTTGCGAACCACTTCCACATCTTGCACGATGCCTGGGTGGGCACTCATTATAAAGTCTATTTCATTCTTATTTTCGCCATTAGGGCTCCTCCATGTCCACTTGCGGTTTTCTCGTGTTCTGTAGAAGGTATTCAAAATTCGTAAATTATTGCGTTCTGCGAATTCTACTAGTAGCTCTCCTCTGGCATTTCTAGTACCGATGCCGTAATATCCTACTGCCTGGTCTCCAGCCTGCTTCTTTCCTATCTTTGCATTAAAGTCGCCCATCACTATAGTATATTGTGTTTTTACCTTGCTCATTGTCGATTCCACGTCTTCATAGAAGCTTTCAACTGAAGCGTCATCATGGCTGGATGTAGGCGCGTAAGCCTGTACTACCTTCATTTTGTATCTTTTATTCAGTTTAATTACGATACCTACCACCCTTTCATTAATGCTATAGTATTCCTCTATGTTGCCAGCTATGTTTCTGTGAATTAGGAACCCCACTCCCAGTTCTCTTCTGTCTGCCAAGCCCCGATAGCAAAGGACGTGTCCATTCTGTAGCACCGTATAGGCCCTCATCTGTCCTCCTAACCTCACTGAGCCCTATTATATCCCATTTAACACCCTCTAGCTCCTCGAATAGTACAGCTAGACTTCCCTCACTAGATAAGGTTCTAGAGTTAAACGTTGCCAAGTTCAGGATCCAATGGCGGCCTGTCCGGATCCAGAGATTCTTAGCGCCCTCTGCTGCGTTGCAGATCTGACCGCCACCATGGTCAGTTGCTTCGCAGCTGCTGGGGACTGAGGGCCGTAAGTTATTTGACGTATGCATGTGGGAGGTAGTGGCCAGATACTGCACCAGAGTGGCCAATCCTTCTCTGGTGAGGGAGTGCGTTCCCGGCGGTGGTTACCGGTGAGGCCGCACCCCAGGCCTCTTAATGCAGTTCCATCAACACGCGGATTTTTTTTTTTAATCCGGTTGGGAACTGCGCGGCACCGGGATTTGAACCACGGACCTCTTGCATGCGAGGGGGATGCTCTAACCACTACGCCATCGCCGCACCTACGATACAGTTTGCGCTAGTGCAAACCTACGGGTTTGCACTAGCGTCCTCTTTAGGCGGTGAAAGTTATGAATATTCATCACAGTGTTTGTGCATTTGGATACAGTAATAGAAACAATAACAGAGGAGTGTACCAGAGGGGCGAAGATCAGCACAATCATTGTTGCACTGTCCAAAAAGACTCTGGCTCTTTTCATGTTCGGAAGCATTTCTCCACTTGTGTGCCAGGGAGGCACCGATGGCCCCAATGCCACCACAGCTACTGAGGCTCTTCTTCCCTTTTGCACCATTAGGTCAGTGGAGAAATGCTACAGCAGCTGCAATTGCATGAGGTCCCAGCGTTTTCCAACAGGCTACACATACAGGGCTGGAAACGTCGTTAAGGCGAGCCTTACGCCAAACGACCTCCTGCTTCCCCTCTGCTGGCATCACAGTAAAACTTTAGTGGCAGAGCTATCCCATGCAAAGTTTCCTTTAAAAGGCCAACTGAAACCTTTCTCGTCTGCCTGCTAACAACTTGAGGCTAGATCTTCTTGAGAACTTATTTCAAAGCAGCACAATATAATACAGTGAAAGGTTGATGCTTCAATGAAGCTGCATCTATGTTTTGTGATTAAAATACTGCACTACAGTTACTGGGACAGAAGTTAGAGGGGGGAGGATAGACATAATGAAGTGGAAACACGTGATGCCTGTCCTTTCTTAACTTATTTTGTCCCAGCAACTGTAATGCAGTTTTTTGATCATGTTAAACCAACTAGCCCTACACTTCAGTTTGCTGATCTATGGTGTGATTGTTTGTAGATGCACTGATGCAGCCAGTATATGCAACTGGCTACATTGATTGGGTCCTATTGAGTAATTGCCTCTATTTCAGCTTTGTTGTACCCTGAACTATTTGTAGATATTTAAAAAGACACTAAAGTCAAGTAACAATATAGGTCAGAAAGAAAGCTCAATGTATGACGTTTAAAACGGCAATATCATCAACAGCAGTGCCCTACTTACCAAGAAATTGATGTAAATGCATGAGAACACATGCGCTAAGAGTAGGACATTTGCAAAATGATCCCATTGACGTCAGACTGACTGCCTGCAATTAATCAGCAGTAATCGAACCAGCTGCACTAAATAAAAATCCTTCCGTGCATCAAGAGATGTTATAAAATGCTACTTGTTCGTTTCTGTTTAAATAATGAAAAAAAGAACCGCCGGACATTACTATGGTGAAGGACGCCATGGTAACGAACGTGCAAAAGTTTTATTTTCACCTAGCTAAACTGGACAGGTCAAGCCATCTAGCGGGGCCCAGTTTAAGCGAGCCCGCCTGCCACCTCTAAGGCCTGCGGTAGAAATTGTTCAATGGCTGTTGTTACTGTCGTGGCTCCCACTACTTTCGTTCCACTGCTACTAGTGTTCGCATCCGCACAGTAAAAAAACGGTCAACGTTGTGCACGGCAAGAGTGACGTGAAGGATTCCACTAGAGGCGGGTAATTTGAAGTGAGCTAACGCGATACAGATCACTAAAACCAATTCTATTTCAAATTAAGCACTTCTTTGGCTTGGAAGTGGTACTACGAAGCTTCTGGACTGCTATTTCAGCAATCAACATCAACTTAATATTTGACTTTAGTGTCCCTATAATTGAAAGGTTGGCAGTCCTGTAATGTTGCATGGCTGCAGTCTTTACTAAACGTTATAATGCAATGCCCAGGTGAAACATTGACAAAAAATTTACATCATCTCTGAAGCACAGTTCCAAATGTACCACAAGGAGCATTCTATAAACTAGAGTAGAAATAAATAAAGGTTGCATTCATGCCACCTCCATGCAGAAACACGACATTACAAGTTAGTCAAATAGACTCTGCTGTAAAAGAGTGAAGAAAATCTACTTGCATAAAGAAGCTGGTGTAACACAATAAAGCTTGGAAAGGCTTCTACCCCTGTGTAGCTTTATATGAAAATTCCAATTGCCTACGATAGTTTATAGTTTGCAGTTAAAGTAGTCAAGAAATGATGACAAGATATTTATACTGCATAATGCCCAAATTTTTCAGTATGCTGCATTCTTTAATTTTCACATTTAATTATAGTGCAATCCACATTTTCATGTTGCACGCAAGTCAGTTTAAAAGGACTTGAATTTCAGATGACTGCTGCCACTGCCGAGACAATATCATTCAGTGCGTCAGTATTCAAATATTCTGCTGAAAATGACAAAAGCGATGTTGCTAAGAACTTATCATGATTTTGCAATGATGTTGCAATGATTCTGTGTGAACCAAGTGAGCACTGCTCAAACGGATGACGTGTGGTGCTGCGGTATGCAAATGCGAAAGTCAGAATCAAGACAATCTCCACCATGTCAATCCAGCGTAAACAGCAAGCCGTTATATGAAGCACAATGGACATGTCAGAGTATGACTCGCACTTGAGTTCTTCCTTTCCCCTTCGCTTCGCTACTTCAAACAAGAACCTTTCTAGAAAACTTGACAAAACAAAATGTCAGTCTTTATTTATGTGAAAATTTGTCCCGGCATTGTTTTCATGCACCTTCTACTACGTGTGCACTAAACATGTTACACTGTTGTTGTGTTTTTACAGTGTACTGAAGATTATCAATGATGCACTACAACTTCTTGGTTTCGTTTCTGTTTTGACAATCACTCCTACATTGAAGATTTCAACCCAGCTATCATATTTTCAAGAGCTATGAACTTGGAATAAACGGAAATGACAACTCTAAACAAAACATGATGACCACAAACTGAACACTGACCTCATGCTAAGACAGAATGAATAATTAAACATTAACATTTACTGACAGTATACCTCAATGCTTTACTATATAATTCGCTGTAAAAGGGAACACCTAGTTGGTTAGATAAATGAAGTTGCAGCATCCCAACATTACCAGAAAATGATGTTGATGCAACGCTTCAGACAGGCCTTTGACATATAAAATGCAATCTGCAGGTTTTTGTGACCTGTAATCGTAATAATTGGCAATATCTAATGACAGAGTATCAATTATGAGTTCCCTTTGAGGGTGGATTGTGCAGGGCACCACGCCTGTCGTGATACAAGTTAGATTGACAGAGTAGCACAAGTTTGACTTGAACCATTACTGCCTGACCAGACTGTCAGTTTGAAGCACTTAAGTGGCCAGAGCCTAGAACGTGCCTTAAGTTGTTCAAAAATAAGACATGTTAGAAGTTAGCACTGTGTCCATGTCATTATTCTATTCCCTGTTCCTTTCATGTGCTACAAAACTTTACATAATTTGCCAACATGCACAGGCTTACACTCTTCTTTGTCAATATATATTGCTTGTTCTCCAATTAGTGCTCCACTCAGTACTCAAATGAAGTACACATCTATTCTTGCTTAATTATATCATACAACTTGTCATGCTCTAAAAGGGGGCTCTAAAAAAAAACGACAATTTTTTTCTTGCATTAGTAAGTTAACAAAATTACCACGCTTGACATGAGAAGACGTGCAAAAAGGCAGTGCATGTGGTGATGCCCCACCCTGAAGTTCTCGCACCAATCACTGAGCCACCATGGATGTTTATGGTCTCTAGAACAGCCTACACAGTTCCTAATCAGTAAAAATTAGGCACATTGTCCTCTGAGGTGACCACAGGCTTTACATGGCAAGTTTCAGGAAATTTGTTGGGCCAACGTGGCCAAGCTAATAAACAAGACTTCGAAAACCGAGATGTCACCTACAGCGATTTTGGCATGAAACTTGAAGGCGACACTCGATCCTGATTTTCTTGCCTATTAGTCTTGAAATTATTGAGACTGCAAGCTTTCAGACAACATTTGCCAGTCTAAAATAATTTATTGCTTCACTTCTGCATCCCTCTCAGGCTTTCTTGCTAATACTTTTAACAGTAAATTGACCTCGGTTCATACACTCTTTCGAAGCTCGTAAGGCAAAAGGTGTGACACTTCCAGACCATGCTCCAGCATGTGAATAAAAAAACAAAGAGCCAGCAACGCTGACCAAACTAGTTCCAGACGATGAAAATCAATTTTGTGCTACTCCCTCAAACACGAGCACAGACCACTAACAAAGGCACAGAAACGAAGTCCACACTGTTCACACGCTCCGGTGCTTCGATAATGGCCCGAGACCAATTTCGCTTTCGTCTGGCCTGTCACGCAGGGCCCAAAAAATTGCGGGACTTTGCCATTGTGTGCCTAGTCCCTCAAGCGATGCACCGGAACCTGCAATATCAGACACTCGACCGGCAGGACGAATAAATATAAAAGTGGCACTAAACGCACGTGCACGCAGATACCTCCTCCCCCCTTCCCATCCAGTTTTATCTTCTAGTTGCAGTGTTTCCGCACCGGTGCCCACGCACAATGGTCAGTGTCAATGCTGGCAGCGACAATGCGGCGTGCATTTGGAAGTGAACGACATAAAGAGAGAGCTGCATAACACCGAGAGGGAAAAAAGAAGAGAGGGGATAGAGGGAGAGGAGAAGAACAAGACTCACCCTTCGCCCTTGTTGCTGTTGTAGAGGACGGTCTGACCCTCGGTCATCTCGACCACGCATTGTGCGCCCAGCTCCACCTCTGCAAGCAGAACAGGCTCACATTAGGATCGTCGTACAGCTGCACCAGCTGTGCACAGAGCACGAGATGCGGGCCTAACGTTTTCGCTGAATGGTCGCTTGGGCGAGTTGATGATCTGTATTAGTTGGAAACGCAAGCATATACCTAACTGAAAAAGGGCCGTGAAAAGGCTAGGACAAGTGCGTACTACCAATTTAGCGGAAGTTGTATTATGAAGCAATCTCAGTTGATACGCTTGCTGGAGTAAAATCAAGACGACAAAATGAAAAAGCTAGCTTCCACGCCACACCAAAGCCTGCTTAACCTGATGCTGAATGGCGCCGAGTGACGCAGGCTCTAAATGCAGCAAGTGAAGCACTGAGATAGTTACTGAACGTAAAACAAACGCTTTACGAAACAATACCAACGTTGGAATACAGATGGTAAAATGTACCATCCATAAACAGATACAGACAAAGAAAAAAATACCTAGAATGCTCACTGCATCGCACACAATGATGACACAGGATTAGATAAAGAGACATAACTCTTACTCACTTTAACATACTTGAACAGATCGCATTGATACTAAGAAGAATGGTAATGATATCTGAAGAGCACTGACAATAGGGCGAGTTGGTATTGGTTCACAGTTATGAATGGTGCAAAGAAACACACGAAACAAAGATGAAGAAAACCACACAGACATGGGCGCGGGTGTCTGTGTGGTTTTCTTCATCTGTGTTCCGTGTGTTTTCTTTGCGCCGTTCATAACTATGAAGATATCTGAAGAATTTCAAACTTTTTGTTCTGACCTTTTTTAAACAGATAGAGTAAGAACCAAGAGCCTTCCTAATGGGTATTTTAATTCAATTACATTAGGAATTACCTTTCTAAAAATCTTAAAATGCAATTAAATTATACTACAAATTATACAATGCAATAACATTATACTACAATTACTCCTAAATGTAATGAAGTTACTTTGAAAGTTACTTAAGCAAAAGTTAGCACAGGAAACATGATTTAGGGATTAAATATTTAGATGCTGCACAGATTTTCTATGGGCCTGTCTCATTTCCATGCTTGAGGTTCGACACTAGGACAAGCTTACCTTTGCTATATTAGTTTCCCTGTTTGGTCGAATTTTTAATGCCATTAAGAAAGCCCATATGTTGTGTTTAAGTCAGAAGTAATTGGGGAAAGTAACGAGTACTTTTCATGAACTTACTAGCTTTGAGTTGATAGCATTACTAAATTACTAGCCCACAGAACCACATGAATTTAACAGGCAATTAGGCCAGGGAAAGCGTAGACGACATTAATTGTTGTTGGTAATTGTGGCATACTTGTTGTGACATAAACCAAAATGATTTGAAATTAACAAAAAAAATTCAGAGGCTGGAATTCAGATCCCACACACGTATAGGGTGATTTTTCGTTTCCTTCAATTGATGTCAAATTCAGTCACGATTGGAATGCCACAATTAACTACAATAATCAGGCATCTTCCGGTTGAATTCATTTGGTTGTGTCTACCCCTGCCCTTTTTTTTCACTCTTGTTTATTCCTTTTTTGTTTGTGTCGACATCAAAAGGAGCACCCCAGACAGAATTCCCCTTCTTTCGGTTAACGCCCCGCCGCGGTGGTCTAGTGGCTAAGGTACTCGGCTGCGGACCCGCAGGTCGCGGGATTCGAATCCCGGCTGCGGCGGCTGCATTTCCGATGGAGGCAGAAATGTTGTAGGCGCGTGTGCTCAGATTTGGGTGCACGTTAAAGAACCCCAGGTGGCCGAAATTTCCGGAGCCCTCCACTACGGCGTCTCTCATAATCATATAGTGGTTTTGGGACGTTAAACCCCACATATCAATCAATTCTTTCGCTTAAGCCCACAGAAGTAACTCATTACAGAACTCATTACAGCAAAACCGTAAACTGTATTGCTGTAATTTAATTACTGTCAAGTCGGATATGTAGTCATTGAATATTAATTAACTTAACTTCCACAAACCCTGCTGTGGACTAGGAAAAAGAAAGGTGACGGTGTACCAGAGACAGTGGCCGATAAAAGGCGACGCCTTGGCAGCCCGCGAGCACGGCAAGATCGTGACGCGTCACGTGAACCGTTACGTAAACTAAAAGCACGGTCGGTGCGTGACTAGCGCATGCGCACGGGCTCCTCTCTCTCTCTCTCTCTTTCTCTCGGCCTCTGCCCTACAGGTTCGCACGGAGCGATTCGGGGGTCGGACCGGAACCGCATCGAACGTGGCTGGACGCGAAAAAGCGCCGCGGGCGAAACTCGTGAACTCCGCCACGCGATGCTACAACGATATGTAAAAATAGAAAAAAAAAAGATCCAATAAAGAAATTAAAAACAAAATACACCGGTGGCGGAAATGCCGAGGTCGCGGCGGCAAAACAGTTTAAAACGTGCGCCGCTACGCGTGAGCGCGTCGCTGTGGTCGCTACAGCGTCGCGTTCATCGTGTCTGCTGAAAGATTTTGCCGCGATGACGTCACACGTCGCGTTAAGCCGAAAGCCTTTAATTTTTTTTTTTTTTTTACCGAGGACGTGTGTTGCCTCGTAACACTCTAAACCGTAGCTAACCCTCGGCGGCGTCGTCCACGCGAGTGAGGCGAAAATCGTCGCCACGTGTTGACGTCACCATATCACGTCATCATGAAGTCAAGAGATCACCAAAATTTGCGACGTCACGCGACGACGTTAATCACACGACTGTCGTCGCTCGAATCACGGAGGCAGTGCGAAACCGGGGGTTTGGTGCGAAAAACTTGCATAACCTCCGATCTTGGAGGCAGCGCAAAACCGAGTTATGTTCAGAAAGCTTTCGAAAGGTTGGTGGTGGGCGGAAGTGTGTGTGTGTGTGTGGGGGGGGGGGGGGGTGTCATTAGAGAGTTTTAGTACTGCGGAATGGTGCTACGTACGCATCACGCAAGCGCCTTGCGTTACGTGGCGTCGTTTGCCACTAATCGGCTTTTAGTACGCCGTAGGTACCCGCGTACGTAACGAGCGAGAAGCGTGTTGCGCCATCTGGTAGATCAAAATAGAAGCACGTGTTGTTGACAGCCAATGTGAGCCAATCCAAGTGTTATAGCCAGATTGTGGCCATATTTTAAGCCACAGAGCCGGTCGGTGCTTGCCTTCGATGCTGCCATTTTGTAAAACGAAGTCTCGCGCTGTCGCGAACTTGTTCGAGAGCGGCGCGAACACCTCATACGTACGCACGCACGCATCTCATGCGTGCGTACGTAATGCGATACGTGCACGTTGCGGTCTGCGCATGCGCACTACGCAGAACGTGGCGTCCTTACGTACGCAACGCCGCCACGTACGCAGCGTACGCAGTACTAAAACTCTCTATTACATCTATTGCAGTAGGTTCAACCAAGGTCCTTCAATACCCCGGTGTAACTATATGAATCAATAGATGTGTTTGTGCGTGCGTTTGCATGCGTGCGTGTATATCAAATTGAAAATATTCGGGAAGGGTCTGAATTCCCCCCCCCCCCGCCCCCTTTCCTCCGCGGCTGTACGTCCCTGATCGAGGGAGGAGAAAACGAGAATGGAATCGGGACCCCGAGCTTATTCGCTCGTCCTCACTGAATAAAGACACATACATACAACCTGCAGCCAAACGAGGAGCTCGGTTGAACCATAGTCACCCATAAGACCTTTTTGGGCGCGTCTGGATGGCTTTAAAAATTCTTTTTTTTTTTCCGTATAGTATAGAAGTGTGGAATAGACTTCCAGAGTACGCTGTTACTATCGCAAATGTCAAAGCGTTTGAGTGTTCGCTAGAATTGTACTACCGGCAACATGAAACGTAATGTCTGTTTTGTCATTGTGTATTGTTTTTGTTTTGTGTTTATATTCCTCCCCGTAATGACCCTCAAGCGAGGGTTACAGTATTAATAAATAAATAAATAAATAAAAAAAAGATGTGCAACAAAATGATGCGAAACGCCGTGCGTTCTCGCTATACGCTGTTGTACGAAGATGAATACACGGCTGAAGACCTCATAATAAATCATCCATGTAATGGGCTCCACCCGCACAACCACACTGCACCTCTTTGCGGCTCGAGCCTTAATTTTGGCGCTTGAATTACATAGTCCGTAAAGCGCTCGAAGTGTACTTCGCATCCGGTAGGAGGCCATTCAACCCCTTCCACTTCCCCCGCCCCCCCGTAATGGGTCAGAGGAGGGAACAGCGAGGACGGTATGTAGTGTAACATTTATGATCTTGTTAGCAGCGCACTGAAACTCATTTTTTCACAGCTGAAATGACGACACGAGATAAAACGGATAAGCGGGCAAGTTGGTCTAGGGTCCATAATTACGGTAAAGTGAAGCAAACGGATAAGCGGGCAAGTTGGTCTAGGGTCCATAATTACGGTAAAGTGAAGCAAACGGATAAGCGGGCAAGTTGGTCTAGGGTCCATAATTACGGTAAAGTGAAGCGCAAGGCAACGAATACACAAGGAGAAATGCGCGTCTTCTACTCGCTCCTAGCGAATTTTGTTGTCTGGCGCTGCCATGACGGCAGAAAAAAGGTCTGAGCACATCGTCTGCGCCCACGCACGAGAAACGCGGTATGCGTTATAACTGATTGCGTTTTCAAGAAACTCTATAAGCGTTGTCAGCTGCTAAACTGTATATAGCTGGTTCTGGTGGACAGAGTGAGACAATGTACTGGCGAACAAATGCACAGCTGGCGTTGTGAGCCTCTTCCTATCCTGATTGATTGATTTGTGGGGTTTAACGTCCCAAAACCACCATATGATTATGAGAGACGCCGTAGTGGAGGGCTCCGGAAATTTTGACCACCTGGGGTTCTTTAACGTGCACCCAAATCTGAGTACACGGGCCTACAACATTTCCGCCTCCATCGGAAATGCAGCCGCCCCTCTTCCTATCCTTTCAACGCCATCATACGGTTGCAGTACACGGTTTCACACGGATATAGTCCTTGCAGCAAAGGAGCCCCGCCGCGGTGGCCTA